TCTCTCTGTCTCTTCTCTCTCTCTGTCTCTCTCTCTCTGTCTCTCCTCTCTCTGTCTCTCTCTTGTCTCTCTCTCTCTCTGTCTCTCTCTCTCTGTCTCTCTCTGTCTCTCTGTCTCTCTCTCTGTCTCTCTCTCTCTCTGTCTCTCTCTCTTCTCTTTCTCTCTCTCTCTGTCTCTCTCTCTCTCTGTCTCCTCTCTCTCTGTCTCTCTCTGTCTCTCTCTCTGTCTCTCTGTCTCTCTGTCTCTCTGTCTCTCTCTGTCTCTCTCTCTTCCTCTCCTCTGTCTCTCTCTCTCTGTCTCTCTCTGTCTCTCTTCTCTCTGTCTCTCTCTCTCTGTCTCTCTCTGTCTCTCTTCTCTCTCTCTGTCTCTCTCTCTCTCTGTCTCTCTCTCTCTCTGTCTCTCTCTCTCTCTGTCTCTCTCTCTCTCTGTCTTTTCTCTCTCTCTCTGTCTCTCTCTCTGTCTCTCTCTCTGTCTCTCTGTCTCTCTGTCTCTCTGTCTCTCTGTCTCTGTCTCTCTGTCTCTCTCTCTCTCTCTCTCTCTCTCTCTCTCTCTCTCTCTCTCTCTCCTCTCTCTCTCTCTCTCTTCTCTCTCTCTCTCTGTCTTCTGTCTCTCTCTCTCTCTCTCTCTCTCTCTCTCTCTCTCTCTGTCTCTCTCTCTGTCTCTCTCTCTGTCTCTCTCTCTGTCTCTCTCTCTGTCTCTCTCTCTGTCTCTCTCTCTCTGTCTCTCTCTCTCTGTCTCTCTCTGTCTCTCTCTCTCTCTCTCTCTCTCTCTCTCTCTCTCTCTCTCTCTCTCTCTCTGTCTCTCTCTCTGTCTCTCTCTCTGTCTCTGGATGTTCATACAGTGTTCTGTCATTGTCCCAACAATAATAATAATATCATCTTTATTTACTACAAGTACATGTAGCCTGAGGGTGAAAATGCCGGGAAGAATGGGCTAGTAACCCCTTTTCCTGTACAGTTAACTAAAGCCTGTCTTTCATAGGCTTATGTCCTGGGAGTGCCTTTTTCTCCTGAGTAATGTAGGTCCTGCTTGGCATTTTCTTCCAAAACAGGCCTGTTTCATCACAATTAAACACTTGTTCAGGTTTCAGTCCTTCACTGTCTATGTACTCCTTGAATTCCTGCACATATTTTTCAGCCGCTTTGTGGTCCGAACTGGCAGCCTCACCATGCCTTATCACACTATGTATGCCACTACGATTCTTAAATCTCTCAAACCAACCTTTGCTGGCCTTAAATTCACTCACATCACCACTAGTTGCTGGCATTTTTTTTTAATTAAATCGTCATGCAACTTTCTAGCCTCTTCACATATGATTGCTTGAGAGATGCTATCTCCTGCTATCTGTTTTTCATTTATCCACACCAATAACAGTCTCTCAACATCTTCTATCACTTGCGATCTCAGTTTTGAAAACATAGTTGCACCTTTTGCAAGAACAGCTTCCTTGATTGCCGTTTTCTTGCCCACAATAGTAGCGGTGGTTGATTGGGGTTTTGTGTACAACCTGGCCAGCTCGGAGACTTAGCAATGATCTCTCTCTTTATATCCATAGTAATTCTCACCCTTTTTGCTGTAGGGTTGGCACTAGAAGCTTTCTTGGGGCCCATGGTGACTTACTTTGCAGGTGCAATCACTACAAACGCTGTGATAATATGAAATGTTCCGATTGTATGTTTGGATGGGACCGCGGTGGCTGGCTGGCTTGTAAACACTGGCACCCACGGGACAAGTGAGGTGCGCTCAGGCCACAAGTGGACGCGTCTTGAACGGAACGAATAGCGTTGGTCGGGTTTTTTAGCACTAGTCGAGGCAAAAATTTTGCGTTAAAATGTATTGCTAGTCGGATTTAACGTTAGACGATGCCAGCGTTGGCCGAGGGTCCACTGTATTATGCAGAAAATTCGGAGTGTGAAAATTTGGAGGTGTGGAGTTAATAAAAGTATTAGTCAGAGGGCTGAAGAGGGGTTGTTGAGGTGGTTTGGTCATTTAGAGAGAATGGATCAAAGTAGAATGAAGTGGAGAGTGTATAAATCTGTAATGGAAGGAAGGCAGGGTAGGGGTCATCCTCGAAAAGGTTGGAGGGAGGGGGGTAAAGGAGGTTTTGTGGCCGAGGGGCTTGGACTTCCAGTAATCATGCGTGAGCGTGTTAGATAGGAGTGAATGGTATTTGGGACCTGACGAGCTGGTGGAGTGTGAGCAGGGTAGTATTTAGTGAAGGGATTCAGGGAAACCGGTTATTTTTATATAGCCGGACTTGAGTACTGGCAATGGGAAGTACAATGCCTGTACTTTAATGGAGGGGATTTGGGATATTGGCAGTTTGGAGGGATATGTTGTGTATCTTTATACATACATGTATATGCTTCTAAACTGTTGTGTTCTGGGCACCTCTGCAAAAACAGTGATTATGTATGAGTGAGGTGAAAGTGTTGAATGATGATGAAAGTATTTTCTTTTTGGGAATTTTCTTTCTTTTTGTGTCACCCTGCCTCGTGGGAGACAGCCAGCTTGTTAATAAAAAAAAATGCACATGATATACAGGTGTAGCTGACATTATTGACATACTTCTATATAGAAAGTCCTTTTTTTATGCTGAGCATTTTGGGCAAATTAGGTCAGTTTTGTCCCAGGATATGACCCACACCATTTTAAACTGATGAGTGAGCAGGGACAGGGACAGCAGGTGTCTTATGGAAATGCGTCCCTAATGTTTTCCAGCCGTACTGTACTGCTTGTCACCAAGAGGAGCCGCAGAACTAATGTGCGACTCAGTAGTAAAGGTACAGGTGGGCCCCACTTTACAGTGCTTTGCTTTATGGCATTTTGCTTATGTAGCAGTTATTAATTATACCCATTCTTCATTTATTCAGACTTCCTACAGTAAATATATTCTCCACTTGCCATAAGCTAAGAACAAAAAAATATTTTAAGGTAAGTAATGTGTGCACTGTATGTGCATTTTTAAGGCCTAGCTATTGCTCACTTAATATATGATAGTGTAAACATGTTATCAGGATATTAAATGCATTTGAAATTGAAAAAAAGAAAGTCTGTTTCACTTTGAAGCGATTTTTGCTTTACAGCAGTAGCCCGGAACCCAACCTACTGCATTAGCGGGGCCCTCCTGTATTTATCCAGTCTCTCCAATCAGTATTAGTGCCAGAAAATTGGAAAAAGGTAAATATGGTCCCCAAGTATAAAAATGGGGACAGACGGGACACACTGAACTATAGGCTGGTATCTCTTAACATGCATATTGTCAAAAATTAAAAAAAAAAAAAATAATAAAGAAACACTTGGAGAGGAGGAGAATGGATTTAGGTTATTGAAACTCTTGTCTTGCAAACATGCTGGAGTTTTGTGTGAGTCACAAAAATAAAACAGAGAGGGCTGGGCAGATTGCAGACTGCAGGAATAAATTTTATACAGTACCACACCAGAGATTAATCCAGAAACTGGAGGAATAGGTAGGGGTAAAAGGCAGTGTTCCAGTGATCCAGGGAGTACCTGAATGATAAAAAGAGGAAGGTAGCAATAAGGGATGATAGATCAGTGTGGGAGAGGGAGTAATAAGTAAAGTTCTGCAAGGATCAGTGCTAAGACTGCTTCTTTTTGTAATAAATGTCAGTGACCTATCAGAGGGAATCAATTAAAGTGTGTGTGTCTGTTTGCAGATAATGGAAAAATAATGAGAAGAATAAAAACAGGAGAGAACAGTGATAAACTTCAGGAAGATCTTGGCAAACTGTAGATACGTATAGTTGAACAAGTGGCTACTCAAGTTCAACCCAAATAAATGCAAGGTTATGTGAATTGGAGGTGAGGTTAGACCAAACACAGAATATAGCATGGGCAGAGAGAGGCTGCAAATATCAGAGAGTGAAAAGAACCTGAGTAACATATTACCAGAAATACACACAAATAATATCACGTCAGCAGAATGTGCAAAAATAGCAAACCTCAGGATAGCATTTAGGAATTTAAATAAGGAATTATTGAGAACCTTATACACAGTGCATCTTAGGCCAGTCATTGAGAATGCAGCCCCAGCATGGGGCCCCATGCTTGATAAAGCATGTGAAGAAGCTTGGAAATATCCAAAGATTTGCAACTAGGCTAGTACCAGAACTGGAAGGAGTGCATTGTGAGGAGAGGTTGAAGGAACTGAGCCTGATGACCCTGGCTGAGAGAAGGGCAAAGGAAGACATAATCATGGTGTACAAAATCTTAAGAGGAACAGATAGGGCAGATAAGGACAGACTTTGAATTAAGAGAACCAGGATCAAGGGAACACAGGTGGAACCTGAAGACACAGATGAGAGCTAGGGATGTAAGGAAATATTTCTTTAGTGTTGGGGTGGCTGAACAGTGGAATGACTTAGATGAGGCAGTGATGGAGGCAAACTCAATACATAGCTTCAAGAGTAGATATTAGAAGGTCCAGTTTAGGGGTCATATTGGTGACCCTTCAGTTAATGCTATGAGTAATCAGAATTAGCTAATTCAAGTATTATATCACAAATTTGTAGGAGGACATTGTATATTCAGATTAAGTCCTAACACTCTTGCAAACTTTTCGGATATGTAACTGTGAGAGCCTTGTTAATGGTCCAAGTTGGCCTAAAACTTCATCATAAATTTGTTTCTCCTATGTGCAGGTTATTTGTGTATAAACAACTGACCGAGGAGTGGGGGTTTGAATCCATGGCAAACCAATCCTAAAACTAGCATGTTGGGCAAGTAAGAGTCTTCCAACTATGTGTATTTCCATACACACTAGGGAGGTTAACATGGGCACTGGCCTGCTAGTTTTAGCACTGGCTTGCCATGGGTTCATATCTCACTCTGTTTAATGAATCTTGGATTGTATTTGTGTGTTCCAGTTAATTTTTTTAAGAGATGGTGGTCTGTTTTCTATCTATGATAGTTAAGAGGATGACAGCTTCCAGATTTATACCAAATTCTTAATTTGTATTTTTTTGTATTTTACTCCACAGCTGGGAAGATGGATCCATACATCAAACGCTGTTGTGCCACAAAGATTCAGTCCGCGGAGAAACTCATGTATATATGCAAGAACCAGCTAGGTGAGTCTTTTCATCATTGATCAGTTTTTGTTCTGTAAGCACTAAGCACACTCTGGAACTTCATTTTCAGTAACTCACACATTACCTCCTCCTGTTTGGTAATTTTGTTGTCGTCTTCAATTCTTTGTGTTTCATCTTTTATGCTTAGTTTGATTTTTACAAACCTTATTAAAAGATTTGGTACCATTTTGAGTTAGTACATCTAAGAGAAGAAGGGGGCCAGGAAGTATCTAAAGATGGATTGCACTAGTATTCTAGATGTGGCTTCATGTTATATCATAGGTGGCTGATTCTTAGCTTCATTTAAAGAGCCTGCTAACACAAGGAAGACATGATTACTCTAAGGCTTACTAATGCACAGTGATTTTAATTTTATTTTTTTAATGGGATAAATATAAAATTTAAGATCCTGTACTTTAAAAGTATTCATAATTATTTTTCTGTGAAACCTGTTGTATATAGCAAACATGTTCTTAGAAAATTTTTATGAATGATTCTGGCTTGTTTTGACAGGTATAGAAAAGGAATATGAACAGCGTGTCTTGCCCGATGGGAAGCTAAATGTTGATGGGTTCCTGTGTGTGTTTGATGTATCCCAAGTTCCCAATCGCTCTTTAGAACGTCAAGTTGAACTCACTGCTAGTATCCTAAACAACTGCCTCAAAACTAAGCGGCCAGTTGTTCTTGTAACAACTAAGAATGATGAGGCTAATGAGGTAAGAGTCAAAAACACATAAAGTTTATCACCTTAGATTCTATACAAGACAGAACCTTGAGGAATATTTTATTTCACATTTATCAACACTCAATCAAAAGCATGCAACTTAACAGTTTGATTTATAAAATCTGCTACTTTTATGTCACACTGAAAATTTTATACTTAATTCAATACCATATTATTAAATATCATTGTAAAATTACGGTGGTACCTCGAGTTATGAACTTAATTCGTTCCAGAAGGCTGTTCGAGTGCCAGTACCGAATGAATATGTTCCCATAACGAATAATGTAAATTAGATTAGTCCATTTCAAACCCCCAAAAATACAGTTTCAAAAGCACTTACAAAAATACACTTACATAATTGTTCGAGTTGGGAGCTGTTCAAAACTCAAGGTACCACTGTATGTTAAAAACTTTACTGATACATGTATTTTATTTCTAGGTGTATGTAAAAGAAGCTGAGAAGTTAGCCAGCAGAAAAGAGTTTAAAGGGAATATTCCTTTAGTGGAAACTTCCTCGCATGAAAATGTTAATGTAGACTGTGCATTTATGACATTAGTGCATTTGATAGACCGTAATAGAGGAAGAATTCGTATTGTTCCTTTTTACGAGGCAGCGAGACATAGAAAGGAAATTCTTGATGTAGCAACAGATGCCTTCCAAAGATTAGTGCGCACTCATGTTCTGGACTATCGGTCTATATGGGCCACAACTAGTAAAAAACTTGCTCAAAGTCCTGATTTTATACATTATGTGGACCTCTTTGGTATGGACCAAGCGGCCAAACTGTTCCGTCGACATGTAAAGAAACTCAAAGATGAGTACCTCCAAAGAAAAGTGGAGGCATACATGGACATGCTGCCCTCCATTCTGCGTGAATTCTTCCCTGACCTGCAGAGTTTAGAGGACGGGTGAGTGTTTGGTGCTACTGCACTTCATTGATATTGAGTCCCTCTGGTATTGATCTGTGAGGCAATCTTTATTTTGTTAATTGTACTTGTGGTAACTACTATATCAGAAACCTTGAAAATGTAATGAGGTGTTTGTATTTTGTGTGCAATTCGCTTTTCCTAATTTCTAGCTGAGAAAAAATTCAGAAGTGAACTAGTGAGAATAAAAAAAAATTGTAAACAATTAAACTTTTTTGGAATATTGTGTTTTGGCTTTATTGGTTAAGTGAAAATAGGGCTAGATTGGTATTAGTAGTAAATCAGTGGCATTAGCTAGATTAGCAGTAGACCACAGACTTAGGCATTAAACAACTTTAATGAAAGCTTGACTTTCTAATTTTACAGTTCAGTAAAAGTAAAAAAAAAAAAAATTCATTATGAAGATTATAAATGTAATTCCTAATGTGAAATTAGATGCTTCATCAATGTTCAGTACCCTGGAATCTACATACCTTGACAATTTTGTATTGATTGATTCATAGATATTTTTATTTGTCATACATTTATAATTTAGATGACTAATATGATGCTGGGAGCAAGGGGCTAGTAACTCCTCCTCCTGTATACATTACTAAAGTTAAGAAGGTAAACTTTTATTTTTCGTTTTGGGCCGCCCAACTTCAATGGGATATGGCCATTTTGTTGAAAGAAGAATAATTATAATTTACTTTGCAACAAATGCTTGTTAGGTTACACTTGGTGGAAGAGTTTCGGAGGGTATGTAAAAGAAGACATTTGAAAGTGAACATTAATTAATTAAAAGAGCAAGGTGATGAGAGTTTGGAAAAAGTCAACACAATGAAAGATTGAAGATGAGATTACAGGGATGATGTATGGAGGTAGTAAAGGTACATCAGATCCAGTATTTTGAAGTCAGTGTGTTAGCAAATGGGTTTATGAAAGGTGAGGCAAGTTGTAGAATAGACAAAGAAGAAAAGGTAGGTGGAGTATTACTGCATCTGTGGAAAGAAAGAAGCTCATTAATGGCAGGAAAGGGAACTGTACCAAATGTACCAGAGTATAGGGTAATTTTAAGATATATCAGCAGATAAAAGTCAGAAATAACACCACCACATCAGTTTTACTTAAACTTAGTCTTGGTGTAGGTTATGGCTAAAAAACATAAGATTAAGGTTTTTTTTTTTTTTTTAGCAAAAGTTATATCTGAGGTAATTTTGAGGTCACCTGTTGACATAAAATATTTCAAATTTCCATAACTTTCCTCATGGTGATCGTAACTATATAAAAGTATACTTACAGTATTTGGAATCAGCATGCTCAGATTTAAAAAAAATTACAAATTTCACTTTTGATTGAAAGTTTACTGCAGAATATACGCTGGCACAACTCAGCCTCTTCTGGCAGGGTGTCCATTTTCTTTTGATTCAACGTATGACATTTAATCCTCCAGAGCTTGCTGATGGATTCTTGAGAAAGAGAGTAAACGTTTAGCGTGTGTGTTAACACACACATGAATTTGCAAATGTAATGTACATACAGTTGACTTGATACTAAGATTTATGCTCTGTTACAAGCTAACTTCAATTTCTTCATCTGTCTTTTTTTTTTTTTTTTTTAACACACCAACCATCTCCCATCAAGGCAGGGTGACTCTAAAAAAACACTTTCTCCATCATTCACAGTATCACTCTCTTGGTAGAGGCATGCATATATGACAGTTCAGGTGTCATTGTTCAGGCATAATAAAAATTTGTTGAAGATATATATTTCAGGTGTTAGGATTTGGTTTTCAATTATGTCTGGAAACTTGCTTTATCTATAGTTATTTTGATTGTACCACCAATCCTATCCCATGAATTTCTACAGTGTGATGCATTAAAAAAATGATTTAACATCACCTCCAAAATGAGTTCTGTGTTCTCTGATGACAAATTTTGAAGAAATTTTATTATTGCATTGAAGTGCTTATTTGTGCATAGCATCAGGTCCAGATTCTGTACACTAATACTAAATATGCTCTCTTTAAGGAAAGAGTGCACCATCACATTACAGTATAATATTTTAAGGAATTAGAAGAAGTGTTAAACTTGACTTGTGATATACCTGTTTCTAGTTTACACTTTTTGTACCCTTGCAGTCTGGCCTGGGGCCAGGCTTTCCTGTTGGGAGTTCTTACCCACATATCTATCACAATCTGTAATAAAGTTGGTAGAATTACCGACAATATGTAAAGTAAAAGGACACAAGTGCAACTAATGTGACATTTATTGTGGCAACATTTCGCTCTCCAGGAGCTTTATCAAGCTTTATCAAGGCTTGATAAAGCTCCTGGAGAGCGAAACGTTGCCACAATAAATGTCACATTAGTTGCACTTGTGTCCTTTTACTTTACATATCACAATCTGGTTTAGCTGGCACTTGGCAGAGGTAGAGATACAATTTTCTCTTTAAAAATTTCTACACTCATTCTGATAATATTTTTGATACTTGCATATAACAAGTTGAATAGTCTTTGACCATGAATATTGGTACCATACAGTGTTTTCTTACTGTATTCATGGTACCCTTGCTTTTCACTGTGTCTATTTTACAATTCCTCTCATATCTCACTCCGCTAAATAAAAAAAAGAGAAAACACTCGCCCGTATTCATTCAATTGCTGTCTTGCCAAAAATGCTGTGACATCACATTTTTCATATTACCCTCTGGCCATCATGTCCCTCATCCTGCTTTCAGAGTGCAGGCACTGCCCTTTTTACTTCCAGAACTTAAATCCAGCCAACCAGTTTCCCTGAATTTTTTATTATTTATTATCACACTGGCCGATTCCCACCAAGGCAGGGTGGCCCGAAAAAGAAAAACTTTCACCATCATTCACTCCATCACTGTCTTGCCAGAAGGGTGCTTTACACTACAGTTTTTAAACTGCAACAATGACACCCGTCCTTCAGAGTGCAGGCACTGTACTTCCCATCTCCAGGACTCAATTCCGGCCTGCCGGTTTCCCTGAATCCCTTCATAAATGTTACTTTGCTCACACTCCAACAGCACGTCAAGTATTAAAAACCATTTGTCTCCATTCACTCCTATCAAACACGCTCACGCATGCCTGCTGGAAGTCCAAGCCCCTCGCACACAAAACCTCCTTTACCCCCTCCCTCCAACCTTTCCTAGGCCGACCCCTACCCCGCCTTCCTTCCATTACAGACTGATACACTCTTGAAGTCATTCTGTTTCGCTCCATTCTCTCTACATGTCCGAACCACCTCAACAACCCTTCCTCAGCCCTGTGGACAACAGTTTTGGTAATCCCAGGTAATCCCTGAATCACTTCATTAAATAACCACATGTCTCTATTCACTCATATCTAATATGCTGACACGTGCCTACTGGAGGCTTGAGCCCCCTAAAACACTAAACCTCCTTCACCTTCATTCCTGCCAACTGTTCCTGGAATGACCCTTACCCCTCCTACCTTTCATGCCAGATTTATGCTCCCTCTTAGGAATCCTATCTCTCCATTCTCTCTAAATACTCACACCACCTCAGGAACCTCTCTTCAACCTCTGGAATTATACTCTTGATGACCTCACACCATCTTTTAATTTCTACATTCAGAACCCTTTGTAAAATATTCACATCAAACGTTGCTCTCAAACATAACTTCACTTCCTCTAGCCTTCTTATTGCAATGTTCAAAACCCATGCCTTATACCCATATAAAAGTGTTGGTACCACAATTCTCCTGTACATTCCCTTTTTCTTGGCTCTGTAGATACATTTTCCTTTCCACATATGCCTCAGTACACACCCTACCTTTTTTTTTTTCCCCCCCCCTCATCTGTTCCATGGCTCACTTCTTTCATATACCCCATCTGCCAGTAAGTCCACTACCAGATATCTGAACACATTCACTTCTTCAGTACTCCCTCCTTCCAGTCTCATTACTTAATTTGTTACCCCTCATGAACTTGCTCTTTCCTATGTTCACTTTTAACTTACATTACATACCCTCCTAAATTCATCCACTAATCTTTGCAACTTCTCTTCAGAGTTCCCCAAAAGTACAGTGACATCATCAAAAAGTAACTGACAACTTCCATTTTGTGTTAGATTCTCCATATTTTAATCCCTCACCTGTCCTGAACACCTTGTACAAGCCCATCTATAATCGCATCTTACTTGCTTACAGTTCACCTGTTAATAAACACTTGTCAGTTTTTGCCAAGGCATAGCTGAATAAAAAATTACCAGTACCTTGTGGGTGTTTACTCATTTCACCAGGGAATATTTAGTTAAATAGGAATAGGTAAGTAAGGAATAAAATACGTCTTTTTAACCAGAGTTCACAGTTATGTATGATCTATGAAGTGCACTTGTATAGATGTTTTCTTTATCGTCAGGAAATTGTATGGGTCTAAGAAAAGTATTTTTCAGTTTATATAATTTAGATAATGTATATATCATAAGATTAAATTAGATTGGTTATTCTTATTTTTTTTTATGTTTTGTATGTCTCAGAATGTTATCTAACTTTTTATTGTTCTATTTTATTGTTAGTTTAGATGAAAGTTTGTTTAATATATGTATGTATACCTAATAGTAAAAATTTTGACTTGGTTATGGTAGTATTGAAGGGTGCTAAATATTTTGTTCTTGCTAAAATTTCCATCTGTGCTGCTTACTACTTTGTATCATTACTCTATTTCTAGTATTAATAAATTGGTTAATTGATTTTAATTCTGCACTTTGCCTTCACAAAATAAAGTGAATGCTGTGACGCTACTTTTTTATACAGCATGTATTCCTTTAAATTTGTAGTAGTATTACAATTTTACACTTCTTTCTTGAAGTTGTGGCCTGGTTCTAAGCAAAGCCTTTGTGTTAGTTTGGTCAGCAAGGTTGTTGGGACTTGCTGCATGTAGCCTGATATAAATATCACAGCCTGGCTGATCAGGGACTTTTGCAGAGTTTTGGGATAATCCAAGTCAGCATGGATTTATTGGGAAGATCATGCTTGCCCCAACTACTAGATCATTATGACAAAAATTACCGAGGCTTTGGAAGGAACCCAAAACATAAATGGGATCTACAAGGACTTTGCTAAAGCATTTGATAGATGCAATTCTTCAGAGATTGCCCATAAAATTAGGTTACTAGGTATAACAGGAAAAGTAGAAAGATGGCTATTAAATTTCTAACAAATAAAGAGAATAGTAAACAAGCAAAATCTAACCTTACCAAAGGAAAAAGTTAAGTACCTCAAAGCATAAGTTCTCATCCTCATGACAAACAGACAAAAATACTAGCCACAGATTTTAGTCCTTCATGGATGATTCCAAAATAAGCAGGAGAGGAGCAGCAGTAAAAGACAGTGAAAAATTGCAGGCAGCTCTCAACAAAGCCTTACAGTGGGCAATGGAAAATGTATTCAGTGGTGTCAAATTTCAACTGTTCAGGCACAAAGAATGAAGAACTCAAAAGTCACACTGAATACAAAACAGAAAAATGCAAGAAACATGTACCAGTCTTTGACATGAAAATGTCAGATAACCTGTCATTTTGAGAACACAATAAGGCAAATTCTGCAAAGGCCAGAAAAATGACATTGGGAACAACGAGAATTTTCAAACCAAGAGAAATAATGCCAACAGTGACACTTTTCAAATCATTTAATCTGTCTTGTTTAGAAGAATGTTTGGTCTCGACTGCTACATTGAAGGTAGGAGAGATATCAGAGCTGGAAATGATAGAGATAGTTTAAAAGAATACTTCAAATATACTTGCTGGAGTGAAGAAGAGAAAGATACCTGTTGATATATAGTATGATACATAGAAGATGCATTTAGATTTAGGTACAGGGCTCCTTGTGATAGGGTATTTGCTTTAAATTTTATGATAAAGTATATATAGTAATTTCACAAATTAAATTTTTTGCCCTCTGGCTTTTCCTAGTATTGTAATTGCCTGGGTACTTGATGTCATCAACCTATAATTACCTTATTTATCCATTTCTAATTACTGTACATATAAGTTTACTGAGTATACCAGGAAAAGTGTATGGGTGGGGTTATTATTGAAAGAATTAGAGGTAAGACAGAGTAGGATTGCAGATGAGCAAGGAGGCTTTAGAGTGGGTAAGGGATGTGTACATCAAGTGTTTCCATTGAAGCATAAAGGTAGGGAAGTTTTCATTGCATTTATGGATTTAGAAAAGGCATATGATAGAGTGGATAGGGGAGAAATGTGGCAGATGTTGCAAGTATTAGGAATAGGTAGTAAGTTACTAAATGCTGTATTGGGATAGTGAGGCTCAGGTTAGGGTGTGTAGGAGAGAGGGAGATTACTTCCCGGTAAAAGTAGGTCTTAGACAGGGATGTGTACTGTCACCATGGTTGTTTAATATGCATATTTATAGATGAGGTTGTAAAAGAAGTAAGTGCTAGGGTGTTGGAGAAAGGGATGGGATTAAATTATGGGGAATCAAATACAAAATGGGCATTGATACAGTTACTTTTTGCTGATGATACTGTGCTTATGGGAGATTCTAAAGAAAAGTTGCAAAAGTTAGTGAATAAGTTTGGGAGTGTGTGTAAAGGTAGAAAGTTGAAAGTGAACATAGAAAAGAGTAAGGTGATGAGGGGTATCAAATGATTTAGATAAAGACAAATTGGATATCACATTGGAGAGAAGGAGTATGGAAGAAGTGAATGTTTTCAGATATTTGGGAGTTGACTTGTCAGTAGATGGGTTTATGAAGGATGAGGTTAATCATAGAATTGATGAAGGAAAAAAGGTGAGTGGTGCATTGAGGTATCTGTGGAGACAAAAAACGTTATCCATGGAGGCAAAGAAGGGAATGTATGAAAGTATAATGGTACCAACACTCTTATATAGGTGTGAAGCTTGGGTTGCAAATGCTACAGCAAGGAGGCTGCTGGAGGCAGTGGAGGTGTCCTGTCTAAGGGCAATGTGTGATGTAAATGTTATGCAGAGAATTTGGAGTGGAAATTAGAAGGTGTGGAGTTACTAAAAGTATTAGTCAAAGGACTGAAGTGGGGTTGTTGAGGTAGTTTGGTTATTTAGAGAGAATGGATCAAAGTAGAATGACATGGAGAGTGTATAAATCTGTAGGGTGAGGAAGACGGGGTAGGGGTTGTCCTTGAAAAGGTTGGAGGGAGGGGGTAAAGGAGGTTTTGTGGGCGAGGGACTTGGAATTCCAGCAAGTATGTGTGAGCGTGTTAGATAGGAGTGAATGGAGACGAATGGTTTTTGGGACCTGACGAGCTGTTGAAATGTGAGCAGGGTAATACTGTATTTAGTGAATGGATTCAGGGAAACTGGTTATTTTTATATAGCTGGACTTGAGTCCTGGAAATGGGAAGTACAATGCCTGCACTTTAAAGCAGGGGTTTGGGATATTGGCAGTGTGGAGGGGTATGTTACACATGTACTTGCTTCTAAGCTGTTGTATCTGGGCGCCTCTGCAAAGACAGTGATTATGTGTGAGTGAGGTGAAAGTGTTGAATGATGATGAAAGTATTTTCTTTTTGGGTCACCCTGCCTTGGTGGGAGACAGCCGACTTGTTGAAAAAAAAAAAATTACAGCTACAGGAATAGAGGTATGATCATGTAATTATTTCATCAGAAATTTTATAAAAAATTAAAGGGTAAAAAAACTGCAGCATTGTAATAAACTGTTACTATTTGTATTACTGTATAATCTTTAAAATTCCCAGTAGTTGTAGGACTTGGTACCTTGTCTTTTAATCAGCTCTTGTTTCTCCACAGTTTTTACAGAAAGGTTTTTTAATATCCTTTTTGTCTTACTTTATAAACTGTGGCCTTCTCATCTTCCTGTTGAAGGTTCAGTACTGTACTGTGCTAATAAATCTTCATCTAATTTGTGTCAAGTAAACCATGTCTTAAAAATAGTAACATTTTCAGTGTGATCAATTATATACAGTTAATCACAGATAAACTCTTCCCTTCTTTTCATTCTTATGCACATCTAAAAACTTTTGAGCTGGCTTATGTCTGAGCCATATGTTCTCTTTCTCATCCTGCTACAGTGATCCTTTTAGGTCTCACTTGTGCTCTCACTCACTCTCTCTAATGTGCTTGCTGGTTTTTCCTTCTGCAGGGATTGGCTTAGTATACAACAAAGGATAAGTGAACATCCAGATTTTGATCGCTATTTCCTGCGCTGCAACGAAGACATTCCCTGGTCAGAAAACACCGAGCTCTTGGACTCTGCTGATACTCGCATTCCATTTGATGTTCTCGACTCGAATGAAGCAGAGACAGTGTTCAAAAATCATGTAAATGCTCTTCAGGCAGAATTAGAGATGAGAGAGTAAGTAGTGACAGATTTACATTGTATGAGCAAAATTATCTGTATTTTGTGTTCTACATTTTTACTAATTTCTTCAAGGAGTACAGTATGATAACCTGTACACTTACTTCTTTAATACTTTTTAGAGTGGTGATATTAACTATTACTGTACTATATAATATAGAATCATTCTAGACATCATAATTTAGATTTATTTTTTAATACGTAGTACATTAACAGTTCATTAATGAGAATTGAACAGATAATTTCAACATTTTGTGGATGTAAAAACTGTAGAAGCAGTTCTAGAGATTGACTTGGTTATTTTAGTCTCACAAGATCACCACTGTACCAGCTAGGCCATTAAGTGTATATTCAGTGTTTTATTTTGTACGGTGATGATCTTTAGTGTGGAGGATTGCCAGATTTGTCTGCGGTATTTCTTAATGAGGAAGGGCCGAAACTGCTGCAGAAATTTTAGCAATTTATGTATTCAAGAAAAAATAAATACGTACTACCTTGACAATTTTTTGTCAATTGTAAGTCTTTTATGGGAACGAGAATTTAAAATCAAAACATAGAAGTTGGCACTATATATGAGCAGACCTCTGGCTATATTGACGAGAAGAAGAGTTTGATAGCCTAAAGAAGAAATCACAAGTAACCCACAAATTTTAGATAATTCTTCAGATGACATTTCAAAATTGCATGGGCAATTATCAGGTCATGGGTGAAAAGAAAAGTAAGGTATAGCAGTCTGATTGTTTGAAGAGGTGAGGAGACACCCGAATTATCTCTTACTTGTAAGTTATTTGTGAATTGTTTCATCAATGGTACTTTAATTTTTGGTCTTTATAGCATAGAAGTTGGTACTTGGGTAAGCTGCTGGATGGAAGTGGTACTGTAGTGTGCCAGTAATATCTTTTGTAATACTTCCTAGATCTATATGTTTGAGAATGAAAGTATTTAATAAATGTATATTTGATTAATTTACATAAAATTGATATTGAACTTCAATTTTTTTTTAATACAGACAACTTCTATGATTATATGGAACCAATTTCAGATGCAGTTTATTACAAACAGGAAATATAAATTGAAGATACATAAAAAATTACATGTTACTTACAAGGCTCTGAATATAATAATGAAGATATTTATGAAACATTAACCTGACTTTAAAGAAGTGTCTCAAATACGTGCGTACATCTTGGTATGTCTTTTTTGCTTGCATTCAAACAGTTTTTTCCACTTCCCTCGTTCATCACACACAAGACTAACTATTTCAGTTTTTTTTTTCTATTAACTGCCTTAGGAGGAAAACTTACAGGACACATTACCAGTTTTATCTGCCTTAAGTCTAGGAAACATTAAATTAGTACATACTTTTCTTCACAAAAAATAGCTTTTTCACATAACCACTTCTTTGCCAAGTTGGCTTATCAAGAACTTCTCGTGTAACTTCTGTGGAACTCCTCCAATTTTTTTGTTGTATCAAACTGTAATGTTGCACTCAGCAAATAGTGTACCTACCCCCTTTTTTTTTTCATGGTGAAATATTTATTTTTTTTAACACGGCGGTCGTCTCCCACCGAGGCAGGTGTGACCCAAAAAAGAATTCAGAAACACTTTCGCCATCACTCACACAATATCACGGTCTTTGCACAGGTGCCCAGATATGACAGTTTAGATGTCACTCCAAACAGCCAATATCCCAAATCCCTCCTTTGAAGTCCAGGCATTGTCACAGTTTAGATGTCAGTCCAAACTGTCAGTATACCAAACCCCTCCTTTAAAGTGCAGGCATTGTACTCTTACCCTCCAGGACTCAAGTCTGGCTAACCGGTTTCCCTGAATCCCTTCACAAAATATTACCCTGCTTACACTCCAACAGCTCGTCAGGTCCCAAAAACCATTTGTCTCCATTCACCCATTCTAACTTACACAGTATATAATGTATTATTCTTGCAAGTACTGTAGTCATATGTGGCAGGCTAATTTGTCAAAATTGGTATAGAGACTGCAGTGTATACAGTTGGTGCAAGAAGCCAGTGGTGAGCGGGGTCAATCATTTATACTATAGATTGAGGGCCTTGGATTTTTGAAGATTTGTCACACAAGCAATGACACAGGTAAGAAGCCCTGAATTAAAAAAATATGTATGTAGAGAGAGAGAGATACAGATAGATATATAGATAGATTTAATTTAATTTACAAATGTGCCAAATTTAATTACTGTACATGCTATGATTTTAATTGTCTTTGTACACCTGAGAGTTTTAAATTAATTTTCCCCATAAGAATGCTGTCATCTAATCTTTTGATTTCATTCTCATGCCATCGTTCAGGCTACCGCGAAGGTACTGTGATCAACCCAAGTATGTGCATGCTCCTACAAACATGTCTTGATTGATATATACTATACAGTATATTGTGCATTTTCATTATTTGGTGTTATTTATAGAGAATTCATCTGATCCTCACATGCAAGCAAGAATCATGAATTTTTTCCTCTTTAACACCAAGTAGCTGTAAGAATGCTTGTTTGATTATTTTGTTAATGCTGCAAGGAACATTTGGTGTACTTGTAGAAGAGGTGCAACTGATTCTTCTTGTAAACTTTGTTCATTTTTGCTAATGTAGATGCAAATTATGAAGATAATTTATTACCCTTTTCACTAAATGCGTGAGATTATCTTCTCTTTTGTGGTTGCAGAGTAATAATGAAATAAATTTTTAGCATTATGTATATTTGCTTATAATACTGTACTGTATGTTAGTGGTATAGTTACCTTGAATACTGTAGTTATTGTTCATATTCTTTAGAATACTGTATACACACTATTATAACAGTTTCTGTTTAAAATGTTTAACATATTGGCTGTAGATTGTTATATAGAGTTACTGGTCCTAGGTAATGTAGCTTTGAGGTGTGATTAACATTAGAGAAATCCTTTGTCTAGCAGTTAGGTAAAGGAATTTCAAGTTTGTTTAGCATTATTTTGTAGTTGGTAAGCATGAGGTGTGTATTATGATTATTTTTTGACACTTTGTTGTTGGTAAGCATGAGGATCAGTACAGTGACTACTTTTTGACACTTTGTAGTTGGTAAGCACATGGATGTGTACTATGACACTTTTTTGACTGCTGTTGTGTGTGGTAGCATATTTGTTCATTATAATCTTATCATGGTTAGTGAGCATTAGGGAGTGTCTTGGTTTTGTTTTGTGTAAGTAGTTGACATTATATCTCAGTTTTTATACAGACTATACCAAAAAAACAGTAATCCAGTGATTACAGATAACTAGGGGATATCTTAAGAGCAGTTGGTGTTGTCTGCACATGAGGCTCAGCATTTTGGAGCTGTCTTCATGCTATTGTTTAATATAATTTTATTTTGGAGATCTGGCCTGAAAAGCTGTGGTGTGCAATATGTTGAGTAATTGAGAGAGAGACAGGGTTGGGGATATGTTTTGTTGTTAGTGTCTAGTACATGAGTGAGGAGGAAACAGGGTCTTGCTCAGCCAGTTCTAGGTTTGAACTTGGTCTGCCAGATGGCTGCATGAGACCTAGATGGCATGGCACAAAATACAAACCCAAGAAGGATTACAGTTTTGTACCTCTGGTCCCTTTAAGTAGTGAGAGCTAGGTTGTCCTTAGTTTTAATATTAGTGGCCAAGTATGCAAAGTTTATATGTAAGGTAAATTCAGTAAATGCATTTAAGTTTTGGTGTTGACAAGGTCTGTAAGCTAAATAGTTTGCTAGTTTTGCTGGTGACAAGGTAGCCAAGCTTTATAACTAAGCTAAATTAAAAGTATGGTAAGCTAAAATATGGTGATGAGAAATTAATAGTTTGTTGTAAAATTAAATTTATTAGCTTAGGGAGTGGTATAGCAGTTAGGGTTTAAAATTGTTTAGACTTCCTTCAAATTTATTTTCTTTATACCATCTCCATACTTAAGTCTTTACCTCAATACCAGTTATTTGTTTGTTTTCCTCATTTGGTAATTTTGTTTAACCCTTTCAGGGTCCAGAGGCCAAATTTCAAAGTGTGCACCAGGGTCCAAGAATTTTCAAAAAAAAATTTTGTTATTTTTTCTTATGAAATAGTAGAGAATCTTTTTCTGAAGTTAATAAAACAAAAAGTACGAAATTTGATGGAAAATTGACGAAATTATGCTCTCGCGAATTTTGATGTGTCAGCGATATTTATGCATCGTTGATTTTGCCGACTTTGACTCCCATTTCAGGCCAATTATATTATTCCAGTTGACCAAATTCTTAGCTATTTCACTAGTATTACTTCTATTCTATCGATTGAGCACAAGAAATCACCAAGTCAGCTGTTTCAACTACAAAATAAAGTGATTGGAAATTGGTAATTTGGCCAATTTAACACAAACTTCAGAATATTTCAATTTCAAAATACGGTCCAGAATAAACAATGCAGACATTCCTGGCACTAAACTAACATTTCCTCTGTTCATTAGTTACGTTTTGAGGCTTTTCAAATGAATTCCACTTTGATTTTTTATTCACATAATGAATTTTTATTCAAACCAAAAAAATAGAAGATTTACTGTTATGCAATATTGTAATAATTGTATAAATATCATCACCACATTTGTGAATGTATAGTAGACCCACCAGCTGGCGTGTATTAGACGTGTGAGGTCGTTTGTTTATTCTTGAACATTGACAAAAATTTAACATTTCCTCTACTTTGAGCACAGTTTCAAGCCATTTCCAGTGCTAAAACCAATCAAAATCATCTCTATTTCTGTAATATATCTTCCATTCTATCAAATGAGACCAAGAAATCGCAAATACAGCTATAAAAAACATAGGAAAAAATACTGCAAAGCCGCTGTTTTAATAAAAAATCACGTGTTTTTTTCTCTCATTATACACTGTGTGCTGCAGCTTATCAGAGTGAGCTGAGCTCATGGCATAGATCTACGGTTTGGACCCTGAACGTAAAGCCTTAGATCTACGGCACGGACCCTGAAAGGGTTATTATTAAAGTTTCTTATCCCTTCCTCTATATTTCTAAAGCATAGTTCAGCTCTACATTCTCATAATAAATCATCATCTCTTTAAAGGATGCGTGACAAATTCAAGTTATTGCTGGCGGAAACTGGTTATGTGACACCAGGCAAGAGACTCGATGAAGTGCGTGTGCTCTTCATGGGAAGAGAGAGTTTTGACTCACTCTCCGAACATGACCGTCAGTTTATCTATGACCAACATCAGAAGGACATCACAGAAAAAGCACGACAAAATTTTCACGTAAGCCTATTTTCATTTGTTAATTTATTGGTTCATTGGTTATGAATAACATAAACACATTTTAAGTAGAACGTGCATTAAATTAGCAATTAAAATGCAGTATAGTTTACCTGGGTAGCTTTAAAATTATACAATAAAATATGCTTTTGAGGTTCATTTTTTTTTTTATCAGACAGGGTTATAGGTCATTCATGATTCATATTAACTAAAGATTAACTTAATGGCATGATAAAAATTGCTAAATATATTTAGAGTTTCAAATACAAGCTTATTCAGATGCACTTTAGACCCTCAAGTAAGCTGTGGGTTATATTTCTGAACATTGATGCGAGGCATCTACGATAGAGATGCCCGGGTGTTGCGCATGTGTCTTGATTTCATCTTGTCGGTGTTATATACCATTCTTGTACTACTACTACTACTACTACTACTACTACCACCACCTCTTCCTGCCTATATATAGCCGTCCTGCTTCACTTCTGGTTAGTGTTAGAATTATTCAAAGTGAAGAGCATATGGGAAAAATAAGCTGTTATTCCTTGGAGCTCAAAAAAGGTAAACCTTTTTAGGCTAAAAAATGAAAAGAACTAAGTTTATCTTAACTTAAATTCTGGTTGCTGTTGCTTGTTGATATGAAAGAGTATGGAGAGGGTTAATGTGGCCTGTATAGTACAGGAGGCGAGGAACTCCTGTATAGTACAGTGGTCCCTCATTAATCGTTGTTAATCCGTTCCTGGAAGTGCGACGATTATCGAAAAAGACGATTTTCAAATCAATTTTCCCCATAAGAAATAATGTAAATACAATTAATCCGTTCCTGACACCCAGAAGTATTAAAACAAAAATTTTTTTTACATGAAATATAGATGTAGTACATAAACAATACAATGGGACATGATGAATGAAACATTAACAGCATAACACTTACCTTTATTGGCGATTCTTCTTAGTGTATGGAAGACTGGAGGAGGAGAGAGAGTGGATTAGTTACTGTTTGGAAGGGAAATCCCTTTCCATCAACACCTCAGGTACCAAGTGCTTTTCTGGGGTTACTTCTCTTCTCTGTTTCTTAATGCCACTAGGACCAGCTTGAGAGTCACTGGAGCCCTGTCTCACGAAAAAAGTGTCCAGAGAGCTCTGTTTCTGGCGTCTCTTTAAAACTTCCCTAAAATGGGCCAAGACTCTGTCATTGTACAAGTTGCCGATATGGCTTTCAACATTCTTCTCAGGGTGATTTTTTTTTTATTTTTTTAACAAGTCGGCCGTCTCCCACCGAGGCAGGGTGACCCAAAAAAGAAAGAAAATCCCCAAAAAGAAAATGCTTTCATCATCATTCAACACTTTCACCACACTCACACATAATCACTGTTTTTGCAGAGGTGCTCAGAATACAACAGTTTAGAAGCATATACGTATAAAGATACACAACATATCCCTCCAAACTGTTTCTCCATAAATCTTTCTATCCTACCCCACATTTCACTATGCCTTATCACACTGTGTATGCCACTACACTTCTTAAATCTCTCAAACCAACCTTTGCTGGCCTTAAATTCACAATTATCAGTACTCGTTGCAGGCAATTTCTTTACTAGATTGTCATGTAACTGCCTAGCCTTTTCACAAATAATCGACGTCATAAGAGTATCTCCTGCTAATTGTTTCTCGTTTATCCACACCAATAATAACTTCTCAACATCTTCGAGTACTGGTTATCTCATTTTTGTCAGCATATTTACCCCCTTTGCAACAACAGCTTCCTTGTTTTCCTTTTTCTTGGCCATGATGGAAGATATGGTTGTACGGGATTTGTTATACATCCTGGCCAGTTCGGCCACACATACGCCACTTTCATATTGTTCAATGATGTTTTTCTTAAATTCAGTCGTATTTCTCACTTTCTTTACCAAAGGCTTGGTACTAGGAGCTTTCTTTGGAGCCATGCTAGCTTATTTAGCACTTGCAAGCACTAAAATGAATGGAATATTATGAAATATTTCGTATGAACAAGTGAGGGGACCGTTGCTCACTGGTAAACAATGGCACACTGGCTGGGAAGGGAGGCCGAGGTGGCTCAGAGCGTGAGTACGCGTCCCAGACGAAGGATGATTAGTGAGTAAACCGACCATTTGCGAGCCAATGTTTGGACGAGAATAACATGACGATTTCTGAAAAGGATGACTATTGAGCTGGACGATTATTGAGGGACCACTGTACAGGAGTTTCTCGACTTAAAAGGGTTCTACTTATATTTCAACTTACGATGGTGCAAAAGCAATTACTCTGGAGATGAAATTAATGATAATTATCCACTATGAAGGCAGCAAGTCCATAACTTGTATTCATTTATTTGTTTTTCAGTACTGGTATTTAGTTACAGTTTACAGTATTTGTATACAGTAGGGCCTTGCTTTATGGTGTTTCGCTTTATGGCGTTCCACTAATACTGTCATTTCAAATTATGACCAAAACTCTCTATACAGCTCCCCCACCTGACTTTCTAATACAGTCACTGTGCCCCACCCGGTTTGTTTACATTCTATGTGAGATCCGTAAGCACTAAGTCTCTCCATTATTTCTGGAAACTCCAAAATTTCAAGTGTTTTTAAAAGTTATTTCATATTTTATATATACTCTCTGATAATTATACTTATGTATACCTGTACCTAAATAAACTTAAACACTGTGCTGGCATGCAGGTGCACATTAAAATCAGTAAGAATGTCTTATGTCTCGAGAGACCATATTAACCCTTTCAGGGTCCGTCCCGTAGATCTACAGCTTTACGTTCAGGGTCCAAACCGTAGATCTACGTCATGAGCTCAGCTCACTCTGATAAACTGTGAGTGGTAAATTTGGGCCTAGATATGAGAGAATACATCTATGTGGTATGTGTGCACCACATAAAACAAATCCTGCAGCACACTGTGTATAATGAGAGAAAAAAACTGGGACCGTGATTTTCGATTAAAACAGCGACTTTGCAGTGTTTTTTCGTATGTTTTTTATTGTTGTATTTGTGATTTCTTGGTCTCATTTGATAGAATGGAAGACATATTACAGAAATAGAGATAATTTTGATTGGTTTTAGCACTGGAAATGGCTTGAAACTGAGCTCAAAGTGGCGGAAATGTTAAATTTTTGCCGATGTTCAAGATAAACAAACGACCTCACACGTCTAATACATGCCAGCAGGTGGTCTAATATACATTCACAAATGTGATGATAAATATTTATACAATTAGTACAATATTGCATAACAGTAAATCTTCTATTTTTGGTGTGAATAAAAATTCATTATGTGAATAAAAAATAAAATGGAATTTATTTGTAAAGCCTCAAACAATAACTAATGAACAGAGGAAATGTTAGTTTAGTTCCAGAATACCTACATTGTTTTTTCCCTGGACCTATTTTGAAATTGGAATATTTTGAAATTTGTGTTAAATTGGCCAAATACACCAATTTCCGGTCACTTATTTTGTAGTTTGAAACATTTTGACTTGGCGATTTCTTGTGCTCAATCGTTAGAATAGAAGTAATACTAGTGAAATAGCTAAGAATTTGGTCGACTGGAATAATGTAATTGGTCTAAAATGGGAGTCAAAGTCAGCAAAATCGCCAATTCGTAAATATCGCTGACACACCAAAATTCACGAGAGCATAATTTCGTCAATTTTCCATCAAATTTCTTACTTTTTGTTTTATTACATTCACAAAAAGATTCTCTACCATTTCATAAGAAAAAATAATTTTTTTTTTTTTTAAATTCTTGGACACTGGGGCACCACTTCAGATTTTGGCCTTGGACCCTGAAAAGGTTAATAATAATAATTAATAATAATAATCACCGAGTATTAAATGTCGTATATTACATTAATATACATTTTTTTTTTTTCACAAGTCGGTCGTCTCCCACCGAGGCAGGGTGACCCAAAAAAGAAAGAAAATCCCCAAAAAGAAAATACTTTCATCATCATTCAACACTTTCACCACACTCACACATTATCACTGCTTTTGCAGAGGTGCTCAGAATACAACAGTTTAGAAGCATATACGTGTAAAGATACACAACATATCCCTCCAAACTGCCAATATCCCAAACCCCTCCTTTAAAGTGCAGGCATTGTACTTCCCATTTCCAGGACTCAAGTCCGACTATATGAAAATAACCGGTTTCCCTGAATCCCTTCACTAAATATTACCCTGCTCACACTCCAACAGATCGTCAGGTCCCAAGTATCATTTGTCTCTATTCACTCCTATCTAACACGCTCATGCACGCTTGCTGGAAGTCCAAGCCCCTCGCCCACAAAACCTCCTTTACCCCTTCTTTCCAACCCTTTCGAGGACGACCCCTACCCCTCTTTCCTTCCCCTATAGATTTATATGCTTTCCATGTCATTCTACTTTGATCCATTCTCTCTAAATGACCAAACCACCTCAACAACCCCTCTTCTGCCCTCTGACTAATACTTTTATTAACTCCACACCTTTTCCTAATTTTCACACTCCGAATTTTCTGCATAATATTTACACCACACATTGCCCTTAGACAGGACATCTCCACTGCCTCCAACCGTCTCCTCGCTGCAGCATTTACCACCCAAGCTTCACACCCATATAAGAGTGTTGGTACTACTATACTTTCATACATTTCCTTCTTTGCCTCCATAGATAATGTTTTTTGACTCCACATATACCTCAATGCACCACTCACCTTTTTTTCCTCATCAATTCTATGATTAACCTCATCCTTCATAAATCCATCCGCCGACATGTCAACTCCCAAGTACAGTGGACCCCCGGTTAACGATATTTTTTCACTCCAAAAGTATGTTCAGGTGCCAGTACTGACCGAATTTTTTCCCATAAGGAATATTGTGAAGTAGATTAGTCCATTTCAGACCCCCAAACATACACGTACAAACGCACTTACATAAATACACTTACATAATTGGTCGCATTCGGAGGTAATCGTATGCGGGGGTCCCTGTATCTGAAAACATTCACCTCTTCCATACTCCTCCTCCCCAATTTGATATCCAATTTTTCTTTATCTAAATCATTTGATACCCTCATCACCTCACTCTTTTCTATGTTCACTTTCAACTTTCTACCTTTACACACATTCCCAAACTCATCACTAACCTTTGCAGTTTTTCTTTAGAATCTCCCATAAGCACAGTATCATCAGCAAAAAGTAACTGTGTTAATTCCCATTTTGAATTTGATTCCCCGTAATTTAATCCCACCCCTCTCCCGAACACCCTAGCATTTTACTTCTTTTACAACCCCATCTATAAATATATTAAACAACCATGGTGACATTACACATCCCTGTCTAAGACCTACTTTTACCGGGAAGTAGTCTCCCTCTCTTCTACACACCCTAACCTGAGCCTCACTATCCTCATAAAAACTCTTACAGCATTTAGTAACTTACCACCTATTCCATATACTTGCAACATCTGCCACATTGCTCCTCTATCCACTCTATCATATGCATTTTCTAAATCCATAAATGCAATAAAAACTTCCCTACCTTTATCTAAATACTGTTCACATATATGCTTCAATGTAAACACTTGATCTACACATCCCCTACCCACTCTGAAGCCTCCCTGCTCATCCGCAATCTTACATTCTGTCTTACCTCTAATTCTTTCAATTATAACCCTACCGTACACTTTTCCTGGTATACTCAATAAACTTATTCCTCTATAATTTTTACAATCTCTTTTGTCCCCTTTCCCTTTATATAAAGGGACTATACATGCTCTCCGCCAATCCCTAGGTACCTTTCCCTCTTTCATACACACCCCTCTGGGTTTTCTTCTATTTTCTTTCTAGTTCTTATTCTTGTATATTTCCTCTTGATCTCCATGGGGAAGTGGAACAGAATTCTTCCTCCGTAAGCCATGCGTGTTGTAAGAGGCGACTAAAATGCCAGGAGCAAGGGGCTAGTAACCTCTTCTCCTGTATATACTACTAAATGTAAAAGGAGAAACTTTCGTTTTTCCTTTTGGGCCACCCCGCCTCGGTGGGATACGGCTGGTGTGTTGAAAGAAAGAAAGAAGTAATGAGTGAACTCTATATGCATTTTATCGCTCTGGGATGCTTAAATGTCATAGAATATTGTGTGTGGATGGGTTGGCCTGGCTGGCTACCATACACACCACGCTTGATTTCTTACAGTAAATACTACTCGTCTCACCCTAGATTAAGACTATAAATATTTTAAGGTAAGTAACGAGTGAACTGTATATGCATTTCATCACTCTGGGATGCTTAGCCCTTTCAGGGTCCGTCCCGTAGATCAACGGCTTTACGTTGAGTGTCCAAACCGTAGATCTACGCCAAAATTCTAGCGCCGTCAAATTTAGCGCGAAAACGCTCATAGGCCTACATGTGAGAGAACGGGTCTGCGTGGTGGGTGTGCGCCATAAACAAAAAATCTAGGCGCCCGCATAGCATTGTGGGAACGCCGGCTCAGTTACCCTTGTTCACCATGCCTCGTCGCAAGTCAGCTCTCACTCCCCGGAAAATTGGGACTCTCCTCTTCCTATCTGATAGTTCTGACACTGATGGAAGTGGAAATGAAGATGAATTCTTCGGCTTTGATCAGTTAGTGACCGAAAAGAATGACCAGGATATCGATAATAGTGCAGAAAACCCTGACGATCCTCAACCTTCTACCTCTGGTGTGGGCACTCGTGACTCACGGTCTGTTGTTCCTCATCGCAAGAGAATATTAATATTTTCGCGTGGCCAGGCCTCTGACTTCAGTAATGATGATAGTGATGTGGACTGTGATTTTATTGCGCTCGACGATCAATCGAGTAGTGATAGTGAGGAATCATATTCACCAGTGAAGCGTTGGTATGTTCGCCGCCGCATGCGCTCGGGTAGTGTACCCTATGCTGTGCCCAGGGGACGGAGTATATCCCGTGGCCCAACACCAGTTTTAGGTAGTGATAGTGAGGATGATGTGGCTACACTTGGCATGGATAGACCACAGGCATCAGTGGATGGTGTTAGTGGTGATGGTAGTGGCACCACCATGCGTGACTCTCCAGGCCACGCTGGGACCCACGCTGCTGACTCGTCAGTTCAAGGACAAAGTGGAGCGCTAGCCACCAGCCCACCACAACCACAACCACCCATATGCCTTTTCTAAATCCATAAATGCAATAAAAACTTCCCTACCTTTATCTAAATACTGTTCACTTATATGCTTCAATGTAAACACTTGATCTACACATCCCCTACCCACTCTGAAGCCTCCCTGCTCATCCACAATCCTACATTCTGTCTTACCTCTAATTCTTTCAATTATAACCCTACCGTATACTTTTCCTGGTATACTCAGTAAACTTATTCCTCTATAATTTTTACAATCTCTTTTGTCCCCTTTCCCTTTATATAAAGGGACTCTACATGCTCTCCGCCAATCCCTAGGTACCTTCCCCTCTTTCATACATTTATTAAACAAAAGTACCAACCACTCCAACACTTATATCCCCCCCTGCTTTTAACATTTCTGTCATGATCCCATCAGTTCCAGCTGCTTTACCCCTTTCATTCTACGTAATGCCTCACGTACCTCCACCACACTTACATTCTGCTCTTCTTCACTCCTAAAAGATGGTATACCTCCCTGGCCAGTGCATGAAATTACCGCCTCCCTTTCTTCCTCAACATTTAAAAGTTCCTCAAAATATTCTCTCCATCTACCTAATACCTCCCTCTCCCCATCTACTAACACCCCTACTCTGTTTTTAACTGACAAATCCATACTTTCCCTAGGCTTTTTTAACTTGTTTAACTCCAAAATTTTTTCTTATTTTCATTAAAATTTCTTGACAGTGCCTCTCCCACTCTTTCATCTGCTCTCCTTTTGCACTCTCTCACCACTCTCTTCACCTTTCTTTTACTCTCCATATACTCTGCTCTTCTTATAACACTTCTGCTTTGTAAAAACCTCTCGTAAGCTACCTTTTTCTCTTTTATCACACCCTTTACTTCATCATTCCACCAATCACTCCTCTTTCCTCCTGCCCCCACCCTCCTATAACCACAGACTTCTGCCCCACATTCTAATACTGCATTTTTAAAACTATTCCAACCCTCTTCAACCCCCCCACTACTCATCTTTGCACTAGCCCACCTTTCTGCCAATAGTCGCTTATATCTCGCCCGAACTTCCTCCTCCCTTAGTTTATACACTTTCACCTCCCTCTTACTTCTTGTTGCCACCTTCCTCTTTTCCCATCTACCTCTTACTCTAACTGTAGCTACAACTAAATAATGATCCGATATATCAGTTGCCCCTCTATAAACATGTACATCCTGGAGCCTACCCATCAACCTTTTATCCACCAATACATAATCTTATTTACTTATTTAGCATATTATATTCATATTTGACTTAGGATGAGTTTGTCAGAATGTAACCCCATCGTAAGTAAAGGATGCGATCATTCAAGCAAGTGCCAGACAGAACACAGGTTTAAAGTTATTCAGTGCATGAGCGTGTTCGATAGGAGTGAATGGAGACGAATGGTATTTGGGACCTGACAATCTGTTGGAGTGTGAGCAGGGTAATATTTAGTGAAGGGATTCAGGGAAACCGGTTATTTTTATATAGCCGGACTTGAGTCCTGGAATTGGGAAGTACAATGCCTGCACTCTAAAGGAGGGGTTTGGGATATTGGCAGTTTGGAGGGATATGTTGTGTATCTTTATACGTATATGCTTCCAAACTGTTGTGTTCTGAGCACCTCTGCAAAAACAGTGATTATGTGTGAGTGAGGTGAAAGTGTTGAATGATGATGAAAGTATTTTCTTTTGGGGGATTTTCTTTCTTTTTTGGATCACCCTGCCTCGGTGGGAGACGGCTGACTTGTTGAAAAAAAAAGAAAAAACTCTTACTACTGTGCATGCTGTATGTATAGGAAAGTCAATACAAATATAAACACAGTTCTGAAACTCTGGAAAGAGAGCTGCAACAGGATGCAACCTGAGTAATATTTCAGTGCACATAAAAGACCTTAGAATCTGGAACACTCAATTTGAAGATTCCAAAGGTGCCCCCTCTGCAAACTACTTTTAAGTTATTGTAAAAAAAAAAAAAATCCTTACCCTAATGTGATATTTAATAGCAATATGTATATACAAATACTCTTGTTCACACACCTTTTCATTGGTTCAACAAATGTAGAATTACATGTCAAGCATATATAGATAGATTTAATGTTGTCATTCCATATAAATATGAGATACATATTATATAAATGGTAGGATTACTGGTGTCTTTTTTCTGTCTCATGAACATATAGGATACCAGGTATATCTTACTACGTCTACGTACTTGCACTCGTGCTGAAGTTATACAGTCAGTAAAATTCAATGATAGAATAATTATTTTTTAAAAGTGCATTATATGTGATTAAAAAATATGTATTCACAGGAGTTGTTATTGGAGCAGGCAGAGCTGTTTTATCATGTTAAAAGCATTGCTCCTACTGGCACCATCACTCAGGAGGACATTCGAGAAATAACTCAGACCTTACAAGAAGACAGCAGGTAAGGGAAGTCACTGAGCTCAAGCCTTGGGTTATCACAGCTGGAGTGACATTGTACATTAAGCTGACTGGATTTACTGTTAGTTGTGCTGTTAACTGATAACGTTTGTGCTAAATTGCTCATATTTATTGATACAGTATTAGGATATGGTTTTTCTGTAATATTCATACAAATATTTAGCCTTGTATAGTTTTTAGATTGATTGTAGTGAAAAGAAGAAACAAGTGAAGTGATAGTAGTATTACAAAATATTCCTTTTGTATTACAACTGTGGTTAATGGAATAAAACAAAGATACTTTGACAGGGCATGGCAAGGCCTTTTATGACAGCATTTTGCTGGAGTTGAGCTTTTATCAAGTTAAACAGAACAACAGAGGTAGTCAGCCTTGCTACTCTGTTTACTCATTTGTGAAGGAGTATACCAGTTTATTTTTTGTAAGACTTGTTAACCCTTTGACTGTCGCAACCCCCAATCCTGAGGTGTCTCCTGGTGTTGCAAAATTTAAAAAAAAAAAATAAATTATTGTTTCTTATGAAATGATAGAGAATCTTTTCCTGATTGTAAAGACACCAAAAAAACGAAATTTGATGGAAAACTGACTGAATTACGCTCTCGCGAAGTTAGCGACCTTGGCAATATTTACAAATCGGCGATTTCGCCCACTTTGAGTCCTATTTTCGGCGAATTCCATTATTCCAGTCAACCAAACTCATAGCTACTTCTTCAGAACTCCATTTTTTCCATCAATTGAGTACAAGAAACTGCCCATTTACCAATTTCAACTACCTAATAATGTGGTCAGAAATTTGCAATTTGGCCAATTTCACGAAAATTAAAAAATATGACAATTTCAAAATAAGGACCAGAATGAACAATGCAGACATTCCTGGCTCTAAAATAACATTTTCTTTGTTCATCAGTCATGTCTCCAGGCCCCTCTGATATTACTCTTGCTTTTTATTTTGAAATTTTATTCAACCAAAAAATAGAAGATTTACTGTTATGCAGACTACTGCAATACTGTAATAATTGTAAAAATTACATCAACCCATTCATGACTGCATATTAGAATGGCTGTTTGGACATTTATTGGACAGACAGTGACATCATTTGTTTACTTTTGAACATCGGCAAAAATCAAACATTTCCCGTACTTTGTGCTCCATTTCCAGGTTCTTTTTATAGTAAAATTAATCAAAATCACCTCTATTTCTATAATATAGTTTCCATTCTATCAAATGAGACCAAGAAAACAAGAATACAACCACAAATACTATACGAAAATAGACCACAAAGTCGGCATTTTAATTAAAAAAAACGGTCGGAGTTTTTTTTTTCTCATTATGCACTGCGTGCTCCAGGATTTTTTTTATATGGTGCACACTGACCACACAGACCCATTCTCTCACATGTGGGCCTACCAGCTTTCTCCTGCCTGATTTGAAGCCGCTAGAATTTATGAGTATATGTACGTCAAACACGGTACCTCATAAACGTATATATACGGCCGCGACAGTCAAAGGGTTAAGGCTAATATATGTACAAAATATTGTCTAATAAGAATACACTTTTCTGGGTGCCAGTATTTTCTCTCGTGTGTTGGCATGCTACCTGTTATTCAATTTGAAAAAGGTAGTATCAAGAGCACCATAATAGTAGTATTTCCTGTATGTTTACTGTTTTCTTTTTTACATTAACATAGTTGCAACATGGTAATGTTATTCTTTTGTTTTGGTTCTCTGATGATGATAACGAGGAAGTGGATGTGTTCAGATTTTTGGGAGTGGACTTGTTGATGGATGGGTTTATGGAAGATGAGGTGAACCATAGAATTGATGAAAGGAAAAAAGTAGGTGGTACATTGAGACATCTGTGGAGACAAAGAAGGTTATCCATGGAGGCAAAGAGGAAAATATATGAGAGTATAGTGGTACCAACACTCTTATATGGGTGTGAAGCATGGGTTGTAAATGTTGCAGTGAGGAGGTGGTTGGAGGTAGTGTAGATGTGTCTGAGGGCAATGTGTGGTATAAATATTATGCAGAAAAATATCAGCTTGGATATTAAGAGGAGGTGAGGGGTTACTAGAAGTATAATTCAGAGGGCTCAGGAGGGGTTGTTGGGGGTTTCTTTTCTGTGAGATAATTTGAGAATGCCTCTCAATCTCCATCAGATTTTCAGTACATTGCTTGTATATTTTAACAAGGCAATAGTTTGTTATTATTGGACAGAGTAGCTTCCTATTCTCCAATTTTAACCCTTTGACTGTTGCAGGCCCCTTTCTGAAACTGTCATTCTATGTTGATAAATTTTTTGGGGAAAAAAAAAATTATTTTTTTCTTATGAAATGACAGAGAATCTTTTCCCAATGGTAATGACACCAAAAGTGCGAAATTTGGTCGAAAACTCGTGGAATTACGCTCCCATGAAGTTAGAGGTCTCGGCGACATATACGCATCGACGATTTCGCCGACTTTGAGCCCTGTTTTTGGCCAGTTCCTTTGTTCCAGTTGACCAAACTCATAGCTATTCCTTTAGAACTCCATTTTCTCTGTCTGAGCACAAGAAACTGCCCATTTACCAATTTGAACTACCCAATAAAGTGATCAGAAATTGACAATTTGGCCAATTTCACGCAAATTAAAAAAAGATGCCAATTTCAAAATAGGGTCCAGAATAAACAGTGTAGACATTCTTGGCACTAAAATAACATATCCTCTGTTCATTAGTCACGTCTCTAGGCCCCTCTTATATTACTATTGCTTTCTATTTTGATTTTTTGTTCATACAAAAAAATACAAAATTTACTGTTATGCAGACTACTGCATTATTGTAAAAATGGTATAAATAATATTAGTGCACTAGTGAAAGAATATTAGACTCCCCAGTTGAAGTGTATTGGATATGTGGTGTGATTTGCTTACTCCTGAACATTGGTAAAAATCAAACATTTCTGCTACTTTGAGCTCGATTTCGAAGTCGTTTTCATCATGAAAGTAATCAAAATTATCTCTATTTCTGTAATATGTTTTCCATTTTATCACCTGAGACCATGAAAACGAGAATACAGTGATAAATACTATTCAAAAATACACCTCAAATTCAACGTTTTAATCCAAAAAAAAAAAAACTGTCAGTTTTTTTTCTCATTATGCATTGTGTGCTGCAGGATTTTTTTTATGTGGCCTGGTCACAGACCGGGCCGCGGGGGCGTTGACCCCCGGAACTCTCTCCAGGTAAACTCCAGGTAAACACTGACCACACAGACCCATTTTTTCACATGTGGGCCTACCAGCTTTCTCCCGCTTGATTTGAAGCCGCTAGAATTTACGCGTATAAATACGTCAGAAACAGTGGCGCGTAAGACGTATATATACGACTGAAACAGTCAAAGGGTTAAAAATAATTTTTGGGATATTTTGAGCTTTCTTGAGTAATAACAATGCAAATATCCACCAAAAAATTTGCTAATTTTTTTTTATATTTTCATAGTTGTTATTTTACTGTTAATTTTTCTAATTGACCTTCTAGATTTTGTAAGAGAGAGATAGAGGGAAAGAGTGGAAGTATCTATTGGAAAAATATATATAATTCCTATGGTTGTGGTCATACAGTCACATTGCTCAATTCACCACATTATAACTAAGACAGAGCCAAAGATTTCAAGAGCAGGATTACAAAGATAGATTCTCTCTCTCTCTCCCAGGATGGGGATTATAGGGTTCAGTCAAGACATAAAATTCTTGAAAATACACATAAATTCCAATTTATTCCTTAGGTGAAGGCAATTGCTGAATGTAAATTAGATTTTAATTGGTGCATCTTACTTTCAGACTCCTGCATTGTGTTTTTTTTTTTTTTAACATGCTGGCTGTGTCCCATCAAGGCATGGTGACCCGAAAAAAGATACATTTTTACCATCATCCATGCTATCACTTGTTTTGCCAGAGGTGCGCAGATACGACAGTTTAGATGTCACTAAACAGTAGATATTCCAACCCCCTTCCTTTAGAGTGTAGGCATTGTGCTTCCCAACTTCCAGAGCTATTTATAGACTTAAATTACATGTATTTGTATCATTTGAATTTAATGTTTTACCCACTATTTGGTGGTACACAGTAAATTATTCCTTTGTAATGTGCAATAACTTTATATAATTAGGTCTGGTTGTGGACCGGACCGCGGGGGCGTTGACCCCCAGAATCCCCTCCAGGTAACTAATCACATTTTTGTTGCAGATATAAAGCATTGGACAGGTTAGAGAGTGAACGAACCTTATTACTGCTCCAACACTTGGGCTTTGTCCATTGCCCCAAGAAAGAACATTGTCCATCATTCCCCAACTGCATGGACTGCCTCATTGAGAAAATTATAGCCAATAAGGCTGCCAGGTATGCTGAAATCTTCGTTAGTGAATGAAAGTTTCTCTAGTGTGGCACAGAGTAATTTATATTTTGAAAATATACTCGCATATTTTATGTAGGAAATTATTTACATTGTGCAGTGAAAATATTAACATGTGTTGCATGACCTTTATTGAAGAAATACAACCTTTGAAAATGCTTGAAAACTTCTGGAGTAAAATAATGAAACCAAGAGTTTTCCTTATCTTAACCCTTTGACTGTCAAGACCCCAAATCCTGAAGTCTCTCTCTCTCTCTCTCAAAATATTTAAATAAAAAAAAATTTTTTCTTATGAAATGATAGAGAATCTTTTCCTGATGGTAATGACACCAAAAGTACAAAATTTGAGGGAAGACTTACGGAATTACACTCGTGAAATTAGCGATCTCGGCAATATATACGCATTGGCAATTTGGCCCAATTTGAGCCCTATTTTTGGCCAATTCCATTGTTCCAGTCGACCAAACTCGTAGCTATTTCGTTAGAACTTCATTTGTTCTATCAATTGAGTACAAGAAACAGCCCATTTATCGATTTCAACTACCCATTAAAATGGTCAGAAATTGGCAATTTGGCCAATTTCACATAAATTAAAAAAGGTGCCATTTTCAAAATAGTCCAGAATAAACAGTGCAGACACTCCTGGCAGTAAAATAACATTTTCTCTGTTCATCAGTCATGTCTCCAGGCCCCTCTTATATTACTCTCGCTTTCTATTTTGAATTTTTGTTCAAAAGTTGGTAGATGGACCTACAACTTCCTGACAAATAGAACACAAAGAGTAATAGTAAACAGTAAAGTCCCAGGCAGCCACGGTAAAAAACTCTGTTCCACAAGGCACAGTACTCACTCCCATTCTATTCCTCATCTTAATTTCTGACATAGACAGAGATGTAAGCCATAGCTCCATGTCTTTCTTTGCGGATGACACCCGGATTACCATAGCAGTGACCTCCAATGAAGACACCGCGAGACTCCAAGCAGAAATCAACTAAATCTTTGAGTGGGCCACTCAAAACAATATGAAGTTCAACGAGGAGAAATTTCAACTACTCAGATGTGGGAAACTTGAAGAAATTAAAAATGTGTCAGGGTATACAACAAATTCTAACCATACAATAGAGCGGAAAAGTAATGTGAAGGACCTGGGAGTAATAATGTCAGAGGATCTCGCCTTAAAAACCACAACAATGTATCTATCTCATCCCCTAGGAAAATGATAGGATGGATAATGAGAACCTTCAAAACTAGGGATGCCAAGCCCATAATGAGTCTCTACAAATTGCTTGTGCTCTCTAGGCTGTAATACTGCTGTACACTAATGGCCCCCTTCAAGGCTGGCGACATTGCAGACCTGGAGAGTGTACAAAGAACTTTCACGGCACACATAAGTACGATAAGGCACCTAAACTACTGGGAACGGTTGAAGGTCCTTGATCTGTATTCCCTCGAATGCAGGTGAAAGAGATACATGATAATATACATTTGGAAGGTCCTGGAGGAATTGGTACCAAACCTGCACACAAAAATCACTCCCAATGAGAGGAAAAGACTTGGCAGGAGATGCAACATTCCCCCGATGAAAAGCAGGGGTACCACGGGTACACTGAGAGACAACACAGTAAGTGTCCGGGGCCCAAGACTTTTCAATTGCCTCCCAGCATACATAAGGGGGATTACCAATAGATCCCTGGCTGCCTTCAAGAAGGCACTGGACAGGCACCTAAAGTCAGTACCTGACCAACCGGGCTGTGGTTCGTACATCAGCTTGCGTGCAGCTAGCAGTAACAACCTGGTTGATCAGACCCTGATCCACCATGAGGCCTGGTCTTGGACTGGGCCGCGGGGGCGTTGACCCCCAAAACCCTCTCCAGGTAAACTTCAGGTAAACACAAAAAATGGAAGATTTACTGTTAGGCAGACTAATGCATTATTGTGATAATTGTATAAATAATGTCAACCCATTTGTGGCTACATATTAGAATGGCTGGTTGGAGACTTATTGTACGGAGATGTCATTTGTTTACTCTTGAACATGGGCAAAAATCGAACATTTCCACTACTTTGAGCTCAGTTTCAAGGTTTTCCTTGTGAAACCAATCAAAATCATCTTTATTTCTGTAATATGTCTGCCTTTCTATCAAATGAGACTAAGAAAATGAGAATACAACCATAAATACCAAAGAAAAATACACCTCAAAGTCGGCGTTTTAATCCAAAAATACGGTTGGAGTTTTTATTTCTCATGATGCACTGTGTGCTGCAGAATTTTTTTTGTACTGCGCATACTGACCACACACACTCATTCTCTCACATGTGGGCCTGCCAGCTTTCTCCCGCTTGATTTGAAGCCACTAGAATTTTGGCATATTAATATGTCACCGACACTGGTTCGTAAGACGTATATATACAACACTGACAGTCAAAGGGCTAACAATAAAAGAAGGAAAGGCATTCACCATCATTTTTTCAAATGCTGTCTTGGCAGAAGTGTGCTGATGCCACAATGCAGATTACCCTCTTACTTCAACATTATTACCCCTCCTTCAGAGTGCAGGCACTACCCTGCCCACCTCCAGGATCATCCTAATAACAAATAGGACAAAACACACTGAATTCAGCACTGGTAACTATACTATTCCATGTGGGGAGGATGTGATAAATTATATGTGGAGGAAATGTGTAGGAACCTACAAGAACCTGTTGGTGAACATATAAAGCTTGCTAATGTGACAGTCAAACAATGCCTGCACTGACACCACAAACCCACAATTATCTTGTGCAAGTTCTATAAAGACAAACTTGTCACCAAGGAATCAGATCTAAATTGCTACCATCAACACCATTGCTCAAATCATAAGCATCTTCATAATCTCAATAGTACTAGTCTAACACTTTCTACATAAGCAGAACACTGTCATCATCTAAATTTCTCTTGTACACCATGCAGCACCTGACTCGGCACACTACAGTACTTGTCAAAGCTTGTCAGCCCCTCCCCTCCCCACTCTAAAATCATGAGCACACTTCAGTACTTGTCATTAAAGCTCATCAGCCCCCTCTAAAATCAAACCTCATAATAGGTTGTTCCTTACACTTTAGAATGTCCTTCAACCATCTAGGAGGTAGATTGAGACACTTATGCAGCATATGGGAATCTAGGCTGAGGGACTGATTACCTCATACTCCTCCTCTCCTTACGCCTTCCTCTTTGTATTGGACTGATGAATCCACTGTGTGGCGAAACGTTTCCTGAATAAAGATTCCCATATGCTGCATAAGTGTCTCAATCTTCAACTTGTTGGTTTTTCAAACCATTCATCACATCTAGGAGGTAATTAAAAGTTTATTTTGATCATAGATATATTGTTAATTGTCCTGTAAAATAACAGATTATAATCTTTAATTTTCAGTAATAGTCGACCAGGATCAGGCACTTGGAGCAGTAAAAATATAGATTATGGTGTGCGCAGCGATCCACAAGTCAATTTGATCTTGTTGGGTAACCAAGGACTTGCTGAAGACCTGCAAAATGTTATTCGGGTGAGTTTTTATTTAATTATGTTTTACAGAAAGATATTTGGGTAGAATTAACCCTTTATCGGGGTGGGCCGAAATAATTCGGTATTGATTACGTGTTTTTGGCGCGTGTCATACTTCGCGCCCCGCGCGGCCAGCTTCCCGTTCTTTAGTTCCAACCAATCACAAGCCTTCCCTGAGTCTCTTCAGCTAAGTACAGTTCGCTTCTGCCGCCTTCCCATTGGTTGAGAGATCAAAATATAAACACTAGCGGCTTTGCTTCGAACACACGCGCATTTTTCCCTCCACCCTTGCTAATCTACTCTTGGATTATATATTCTACAATGTCGGGAAGTACTGATTGTTTTGTTTTAGTGCTTACATGAATAGTTTAGGCATATTTTTATATATACCTAAAGTCCGTGTGAAGCATAATATAGTGTAGCATGCAGTTGAAAAAAGTGCATGCATTTTAGTCCGAATTATTTTGGTATTGCGCGAGTTTCCGGGAATGTCCAATTTTAGTCAAATAAATATTTATAAAAAATTTTCAATTGCATATATGAACTCTGTAGTGGTCTGGATTTATACAGGAGGTTTCTATTGTCCTTCCAGTTCCATGAGAGGCTGTTTTATGGGGAGCAGTCGACCAGCAGGTCGAGGTATATCTGCGTTTCTGAAGACAGTGACTCAGAACCAGAGGTAGACGAACCAGAATTGCTGGATAGTGGTGATGAATACTTGCCACCCGCATGCACAGGATGCAGAGATGTCAACTGATGATGAGGAAGAAAGGGAAGAAAGGCCAGCCAAAAAGCAGAAAGTAATGAGGAAAAAGAAAACTTTTAGGATTGAGGCATACCCGGATGAGGAAGAGATCCATGAGAATATTGCTCTTCAAGTTTCATCTGAGTGGACCGTAGATGACATTGAAAATGATCCTTTGCCGGCATATGAACATGAAAAGCCTCTTGCAATTAGGTCTCCATATGAGTATTTCGTATGTTCGTTACTCCAGCCATGATAGATAACATAGCATATCAAACAAATTTGTATACAAGGCAACAAGACGTAAATAGTACTTTTTCAACAGATTCTGAAGAGATCATGAGGTTCATAGGTAATTTTGTTGTTCATGGGTATTAATTCACTACCATCCCTCGAAGACTATTGGAAAGCTGGTTTTAGGAGCCAACAGGTTGCAGAGAGCATGGCGTCTAAGAGGTTTAGGTACCTTAGAAGTCATATTCATTTCAATGACAACACAAAAAAGGATAATGACAGATTCTACAAAGTAAGGCCTCTTTACACTGAACTAACTAATGCTTGCTTGAAAATTCCAGCTACACCCAAGCAATCTATTGATGAAGTCATGGTTGGTTTCAAGGGTAAAACTGCTGGAAACCTAAGGCAGTACATCAAAACAAAACCAGATAAGTGGGTTTCAAACTTTTTTGTCGTGCAAGTCAAGATGGACTCATACATGATATACTCATGTATCAAGGCACAACAACTTTGACACACATCCCATACAGCTGCCACAGAAGAATGTAAACTTCCAATAAGTACAAAGATTGTTCTGGTACTTTGCACAAACTATGAACAAGACAAACACATCAGCAATCTATGCTGACAATTTCTTTTCAAGTATGCCTTTGGTCAAGCTACTAAGAGATAAGTATAACTGCAGATACACTGGAACAGTACGTGACAATAGATGTGGTAAGCCACATCTGGTGCCTATCAAACAAATGGAAAAAAACAGTGTGGCCAGGGGCAATTTTGCTTCAACAACAATGATGGTGTCCTTGTTGTACGATGGAAGGACACCAAAGTTGTGACTTTAGTGACAACTGATATTGGGGTCGAGCCCATGAGTCTTGTTGAGAGATATAACAAGGGTACAAAGAGGAAAGAGAAAATATCGTGCCCTGCAGTCATCAAGAACTATAATGCAAACATGGGATGTATTGACAAAAGCAACATGTTGGTGCATCTCTACAAAACACCAATGAAATCAAAACGTTGGTACATGCGGCTATTTGCCTATGTTATTGATCTTGCTGTTGTGAATGCATGGGTGCTTATTGCCGTGATTCTCGAGCAATAAAGCAAAAGTGTATGCAACTGAAGTATTTCAGGAATTCTATCTCTGAAATTGCAAGGTCTAAAGGACAAAACCTTAGAGGGAGCAGCCTAAGAACAACTCCAAGACCTTCACCAACTAATTCACCATGTACTTCCAATGGTGTTGGCATAGTGAAACCTGGGAGGGGAACACGTACAGAAATGCCTGATGACAGTGTTAGGAAAGACATGACTCTAATAGCACTTTCCAATGGCAGGGCAAAGGCCGTTTACTTGCAAGTAATGCAGCACCTCGAAAAAAAAACGGTAACATCGTCATTCGTCATGTAGTGTATGCAAAGTAAATCTGTGCATATAAAGACTGATAGAAATTGTTTCACAGACTTCCATCTTGCCAATTAGCAATATAGAATCATTGGTCTTCCAAAATGAATCTCAGGAATATAGGATTGAAACTTGCATCACTTTGCAATTTGGCATTGTTGATATTTGCTTCCTTTTTATATTTTTGTAAGTATTAAAAAATGTTTTGATAAAAGTTCCATTTATGTTTTTTATATTGTCTGTTTGTAATATTAAATTTAAAAAATTGTTTTGGTGTGTTTTATTAACAATTGCAAGTTTGCAACATAGAATTTTTTAATCACTTTGTCGGGGGCGGCCTAATATTTTCGGTCTTCGGAGATTGGCAATTGCTCGAAAACTAACCATCAGAAATCAATTTATATGGGATCAGTGACCTTGTATTGAGTTACTCTATCCACCATAGGGAGTTCAGTTCGAATTTCAAATTTTCGGACCAATTGCGCGATGAAGGGTTAAGACAGTGTGATGTGAAACTTTGGAATGCATTTCAAATTTGAATTTTCAAGGAGATCAATGATGGAGTGAATGATGGTGGAAGTTTTTCTTTTTCGGGCCACCCTGCCTTGGTGGGAATCGGCCGGTGTGATAATAAATAAAAAATAAGAAATCAAATTGTTTAAAAATTGTCTTACTAAAGCTTCCTACAAATTTTTCTTGCAAAAATTCCACTAGTAGTTATAAGATAATTTAAGGCTCCCTGTCATGCTCTGTGCAACCAGGAGTATTCTGTAAAGTATGTCAGTAATATCACCTTTTCTATACAAATTATAAACCACCCTTTATAGAAATAAAGATTATTATTGGAAGAGGTGGATCAAATGTTAGTCCTGTTCAATTGCTTTTTCTTGCAGTGGAACTTTGACTGTTTTACACATGTCCACCTTCAGCCATATGCAGGAGGTTAAATTGATCTGTAACTGAGATCTGCTTGCCTACCCCAGATTCCCCCTGTTAAGCAATAGACCATTTTTACTTAGAAGTAAAAACTTAATATAATGAATTTAAAATTTTGTTTTTATTTAATTCAGAAGCAGTGCATTACAAAAAGAAAACCAATCAGTAAGTGCTAAAAACAAGCCTCTTAATCAATTTTTTAGTTATGCCTCTAGATGGGAGCTGGTGTTGTGTTTCAAGCTGCTGTATCAGGATAAATGAGTTACAGGTGAAGAATGAAAACTTTTCTCAAGAAATTTATTTAATTGTATGTACTGCTATGTCAGATTTCTTAATTAATTTTGTGCATTACTCAGGAAGGTGTTTCAGTATATTAGTGTATATTAGTTCTTATTTTCTTGTCATTACTTTTTTTTTCAGTCTGTGTGTGAAGATGATGAATTTGAGTTGGATAATCAGATTTTCTCATTAGATTACCGAAGTATAGACGGAGATGTATCTCTCCCACAAAATTCATTCAAGACTCCTGAATTCACTCCTCATGGTGAGTAATAATGTGTGTTTCCTTTGCATTTCTTTACCTTCCAAATAACTCAGAAATTGGAGATTAAGCCTGGAGGATGTTGTACTTTCCATTATAGTGCTGTATTGGTGTTTGTCCTCTCTTGACTTGACTGTGTTGATAATATCTACTTTCTTTGGCTCCATGACTAGTCCTTGTCAACTCATGTTTTACTGTTCTTAATCTTTCTGTATGAAGTTTAAAGCTGAGTGGAAATCTTACTTGCTACTTCCTGCCATATCAGTGCTCTGTAATTTATATACCTAGGGATTGGCAGAGAGCATGCATAGTTCCTTTGTATAAAGGCAAAGGGGATAAAAGAGTGCAAAAATTATAGGGGGATAAGTCTGCTGAGTATACCTGGTAAAGTGTATGGTAGAGTTATTATTGAAAGAATTAAGAGTAAGACGGAGAATAGGATAGCAGATGAACAAGGAGGCTTTAGGAAAGGTAGGGGGTGTGTGGACCAGGTGTTTACAGTGAAACATATAAGTGAACAGTATTTAGATAAGGCTAAAGAGGTCTTTGTGGCATTTATGGTTTTGGGAAAAGGCGTATGACAGGGTGGATAGGGGGCAATGTGGCAGATGTTGCAAGTGTATGTGTAGGAGTAGGTTACTGAAAGCAGTGAAGAGTTTTTAACGAGGATAGTGAGGCTCAAGTTAGAGTATGTAGGAAAGAGGGAAATTATTTCCCAGTAAAAGTAGGCCTTAGACAAGGATGTGTGATGTCACAATGGTTGTTTAATATATTTATAGTTGGGGTTGTAAGAGAAGTAAATGCGAGGGTCTTGGCAAGAGGCGTGGAGTTAAAAGATAAAGAATCACACACAAAGTGGGAGTTGTCACAGCTGCTCTTTGCTGATGACACTGTGCTCTTGGGAGATTCTGAAGAGAAGTTGCAGAGATTGGTGGATGAATTTGGAAGGGTGTGCAAAAGAAGAAAATTAAAGGTGAATACAGAAAGAGTAAGGTTATAAGGATAACAAAAAGATTAGGTGATGAAAGATTGAATATCAGATTGGAGGGAGAGAGTATGGAGGAGGTGAATGTATTCAGATATTTGGGAGTGGACGTGTCAGCGGGTGGGTCTATGAAAGATGAGGTGAAAACATAGAATTGATGAGGGGAAAAGAGTGAGTGGGGCACTTAGGAGTCTGTGGAGACAAAGAACCCTTTTTCCTTGGGGGCAAAGAGGGGAATGTATGAGAGTATAGTTTTACCAACAGCTCTTATATGGGTGTGAAGCATGGGTGATGAATGTTGCAGCGAGGAGAAGGCTGGAGGCAGTGGGATGTCATGTCTGAGGCAATGTGTGGTGTGAATATAATGCAGAGAATTCGTAGTTTGGAAGTTAGGAGGAGGTGCGGGATTACCAAAACTGTTGTCCAGAGGGCTGAGGAAGGGTTGTTGAGGTGGTTTGGACATGTAGAGAGAATGGAGCGAAACAAAAAGACTTAAAGATGTATCAGTCTGTAGGGAAGGAAGGCGGGTAGGGGTGGGCCTAGGAAAGGTTTGGAGAGGGGGGTAAAGGAGGTTTTGTGTGCGGGGGGTTTGGACTTCCAGCGGCATGCGGACGTGTTATAGGATGAATGAGAAAAATGTTTTTAATATTTTATTGCTTTTGGAGTGTGAGCAAAAAACTTTTATAAAGGGGTTCAGGGAAACCGCAGGCCGGACTTGATCCTGGAGAGGGGGAAGTACTGCCTGCACTCTGAAGAGGGGTTTAAGTTGCAGTTTAAAAACTGTAGTGTAAAGCACCCTTCGGGCAAGACAGGATGGAGAATGATGGTAAAAAGTTTTTTTTTTTTTCGGGCCACCCTGCCTTGTGGGAATGGGCCATGTGATAATAAATAAAAAAAATCACTCATAATTGCGACTTTGCCATCAAATCACAGGTATAAAACTCCCACACATCCCATACAGAACTCCAAAGATGGACAAACCACTGCATTTTCTACCAAAATTACTTCATATCCTTATCAGGGTAGTAATCAAAGCCCCTTTCCTACGCCCCTTTTCTTTATGAGGGGGAAATTGAGCCCCATCAGGGTGCAAACTTCAAACAATATGATTTGATCACTAGCATTCATCAGCAATACCACACATGTTCAACCCCCCCAAAAGAATAAAATCACCCAGGGCCCCTTTAATGACGGGAATGTAAAAAGCTTTAAAACACACTACAAAGTGAATTTTATAGCGATGATTCTTTTTCAAATCTCACCCACCATTTTGACTCAAAATTTGGGAACACTTATAAACCCCGGGCAATAACGGGTGTTAGGGGATTTCTCAAACTAACACAACAACCTTTTTTTCATACACTGCCAAGAAAACTTTTATACAGGAGATTACTCTACATAGCCACAGTTGATGCGGGTGGGACAAAACTTTACCTTCATGAGCTAACAACTGCCTTTAGGGAAAAATAGCTGGGGAAACAATATTTCAAAAAAATTCATTCAAAAACCTTCCCCCATTTTGAAAGCAAATCACTCTAGGGATTGCTGTTATCAGAGAAAGCAAAATACACAGCAACAACAAAAGCAATCTGGGCATATTTCACTGAAACGGTGTTCTGAAGTCTGTCTGTACTCAAAACTGTGTGGGCATCAGCATTAGGGTTTCAAAAACAGAAAAATCTCTGCAAAATTTGTCTTTTCCCTTGCCGAGTCTTTATTTTAGTGAAACATAAGAGTTTTTACCTGAACATTTCTTTAATAGTTTTTTTTTCAGTAAAATAATGTTCATCGGTGGGGCATAAAACGAAGACAGAAGGAACACTGTAACAATCTACTGGGCCCATCAAGGGAGGTTCAATTCACCCCCGGGTTAAGCCAATGCCCTTTACCTAGTGAGGTCAGACATGCCTTAAGGAAGGACACTGCATCCGAAACCTATAGCACAACATCAAGTCAGGTTATGAATATCTGTTGCAGGACAGTTTGGCTGAATTAACTATTTTTTTTTTTTTTTTTCACAATCGGCCGTCTCCCACCGAAGATTTTCTTGCCAGTTTCCCACACTTGGGATCTGGGGGTAAAAAATTTTCCATTGGTGTCATGACTTGTGGTGGGTCACCTGGTGCATTTCCAGCTGGTGTTGATTCACGGTGTTTGTGTTGGCAGCTGGTCTGTCATGCTTTTGCCAGTTGGGTTGGTGGTTGTCTTCTGATGCCATTGAAACTCCATCATGTCACTCACTATTCCTCTTAAAGTATCAGTACCTAGATGTCTTAACTAGAACAAAAAAACATAACAATGAACCAAACTGTGCATTTTACGATGTTTGTTGCATAGAAAATTCTGTATCACTATCACTGGGAAACAGCACTCTCCCCCCTATACATATATTCCCTCCCTGTCATTTCCCCAAACACCCAGTTTCATCCAAATCGGGTGAAACCTGGTGGACCACCTTGCTGCCCCCTTGAAAACCAAAATGAAAATGCATTATTTATCCCAGGATGATTGAACAGAAATTTCCCCCCATTTCACCACAAGATAGGTTTTTTTTTGGGCGGCCCGCCATGGTGCTACCATGTTTACTGGGGGCATTACCCACAAAAGTCCCATTATACCTACACGCCCGATTTATTTCCCTATAGGTATGAGGTGGGTAATAACCCAAACAACACAGCTGACCTAAAATGGCATGTGAGGCAAATTTTTAGTCTAGAAAAATTATACATACTATACAGAGACATGGACGACACTTGCAGCTGTATGTTTTTGGGCCAATTTGAGGGTTAACGAACAAGAGGGATGTTCATTAAAGCCAATATCCTGTAAATATGAACAATTTTGGATTTAACAAACTTTTTCCATTACATCCAAAATCAGTTTACTTAGACTCATAGTAATGAACAGTTCTGAATTGAACAGACTTTTTTTTCCAGAAATTGTGCAGCAGCAAATTTTATCCCTAAAACCTGAAATATTTTAAATCTGGGTCTATTAAATAGAGGTTTTACTGTACTTCAAAATTTTCAGGTGTTGTGTGTGCATACAGCAATGAGGCCTCGTTAGAGTACGTACGAGAGTCATTAGAGAAATCATTATTAACACAACTAGAAAGGGAGGAGTCAACTCCGACACCGCCCATCACCGTCCTATTTGCTCCCGATCCTGACCTGGACCACAATACCTCTCAACATCTACATGATGAAGGGGCCAACTTAGCTGATAGGTACGGAATCATTAACATGCTTAAGAGAAACTATCTGACCTATGTATTTTGGTACACAAACTTTGAGAAATCTTGTATAGCAAAATTTTTTGTCAGGTAGATTCTCTGTTATTTTATTTACATAAGCATTAATTTAGTTTAAGATTGTTATATGGATATGGTCTGCTAAATTGTTTTGCTGATTCAGTGTTGCTATTTTTGTATACCGTATATATAATTTTAGCTTGAGCAAATCATGCTTTTTTTTTTATTAATGTCAATGTAAATTATTTTTATTAAATGTTTGTTAATTTGAGCTTGCACTGAAGTTTAGTCTGCTTGACATGTGCAATGAATGTTGGTCAGCATAAAGATTATTTTTTCCTGTATTACAATTAAGCTTTAATAGCTAAATCTAATATTATCCTAAAATACAGTCCCCCTGGCAGCTTGCAATGCACCTTCATGGATGTTGGACCAAGCGTGGGAAGTGGTGAGGGGCACAGGTTTGATAGTAGCTTGGTAACTAAGGCCCTGCGCTCCCTAATCACCAGCATCCACCATCGTAACAACTCTCAAAATATCTTCAACTCAGCTGTTTTGCCCAGGGACTCCCAACCAGATATCAGGTGCGATATTGAGGAACACATTTAAGTTGATATATATTTGTTCTTTTGCAATATAAAATATAATTAAACTCATTGCCAAAGTAAAAATAATTTCTATAGAGTAATGTTTTCATTTTATGAATAGTGTCATGCTCATCAATAATGTTTTCACATTTTGTTATGATTCTTTGTATACAGCTTTTAAGAAATAGCCCGTATATTTTCAGAATTATCATGTGTATGCTCTGTGGAGATCCATACTCGGTGGAGAATGTACTTAGTCCACTGCTCAGTCACCAGTGGTGTGTGGTGACAGGAGAGCAATCTATCTCATTACAAACATTCCTAGGTCAGTCATTACTAATTTCTTACATCACATTGTGTTTATGTATGTTTGCAACAGTATTTTGTCATGTTAAGGAAATGCAGTATCCCATTTGACCAGATGGATTTTTTTTAACACACCGGCCATCTCCCACTGAGGTGGGGTGTCCTGAAAAAGAAGAAACACTATCACCATAACTCACTATCACAGTCTTGCCAGAGGTGTGCTGATATTACAACTCTGATGCCCCTCCAAACTGCAACATTCCCATCCATCCAGAGTGCAGGCACTATACTTCCCACCTACAGCATTCAGGTCCAGCTAACTGTTTTTCCTGAATTCCTTCATAAATGTTACCTTGGTCACACTCCAACAGCATGTCAAGTCATAAAACTTACTTGCCTCCACTCAGTCCTATTTCACACACATACACAAACACCTGTTAGATGTCCAAACCCCTCACATGCCATGGATGGAATTATGTACTGTATTATGCTTAGCATAACTTTTAAAAATGTTGACAGATGCAGAGACATTCCATGTGGGAGTCCTTTGGCAGCACTATATGTACTGTAAAGAATAAAATTCACAATATTGTGGCTGGAACTGTTGACAATTTATAAAGGAAACTTTGGGCAATGTTTTGGTCTATCCAATGGTTGAGGATGTAATGAAAATGTCTAAAGTTTCCTTTACAGATTATAAGGTAGTTGTATACTATATTTACAAAAATTATCTGCACTTATCAACCCATATATAATTTCTCAGACTTTAAACATAGGATAGCCAAACCAGCATCAAAGGTTTTACCTTGAATGGTTAGTGTGTTTTTAATTTTTTTTATTTAAAAGAAGATTCTTATAAGACTACCTCATCAAAGAGTGTGGATATAATGCAATTAACATACACAAAGTGGGGCCAGTTGTGAGTTTTACCATTCATCAAGTAGAGCCAGTTATTTATCCTGTCATATTTTATGTTGATATGCTGGATTAATGCTCAAGTATTTGCAATTAAGGTTTTTACTTTCAATGAAGTTAATTGATGTTTGGCATTCACTGATTTAAGAAATGCATAAGAATTCATGGCTTCATATCAAGAAGTATAAATAATGGAAGTTCTTAGTTTATGCTTCAACTTGTATATTGTAGGTTAGGACTCTTACAAATTATACATCTCATTCCTGGTTACCATATTGTAGAAAGAAAATAATATGCTACAAAATGTATGAAGGATAAAGTTAATCTTTATCAGAAACCTTCCTGTGGAGATAGACTGAAGCTGCTGAATTTGCACTCTATAGAATGGCATAACAGTTAAGAGGGGATATGACTGAAGTGTAAAAATCAGAAACTGGAATAAATAAATAGGATAGGAATAAAGTGCTGAAAATGTTTAATGGAGGCAGAACTCTTAGCAGTACATCCATGTTGCATAAATGTAGATTTAGAAAGAATAATGGAAGTGCTAGTATGGCAGTGAAGCTGTAGATAAATGGAACAAGCTACCATGTAGCATCATAAGTTCTTTGGGTAGTTTTAAAAATAGGTTGGACAAGTACATGAGGTTTTAGAGTGGGTAGGGGATGTGTAGATCAAATGTTTACATTGAAGCATATATGTGAACAGTATTTAGATAAAGGTAGGGAAGTTTTCATTGCACTTACAGACTTGTAAAAGGCATATGATAGAGTGGATAGGTGAGCAATGTGGCAGATGTTGCAAGTATGTGGAATAGATAGTAAGTTACTAAATGCTGTAAAGAGTTTTGAGGATAGTGAGGCTCAGGTTAGGGTGTATAGAAGAGAGGGAGACTACTTCCCAGTAAAAGTAGGTCTTAAACGGGGTTGTGTAATGTCACCATGGTGGTTTAATATATTTATAGATGGGGTTGTAAAAGAAGTAAATGCTAGGGTGTTGGGGAGAGGGGAGGGATTAAATTATGGGGAATCAAATACAAAATGGGAATTGACACAGTTACTTTTTGTTGATGATACTGTGCTTATGGGAGATTCTAAAGAAAAATTGCAAAGGTTAGTGGACGAGTTTGGGAGAGTGTGTAAAGGTAGAAAGTTGAAAGTAAACATAGAAAAGAGTAAGGTGATGAGGGTATTAAATGATTTAGATAAAGAAAAATTGGATATCAAATTGGAGAGGAGTAGTATGGAAGAAGTGAATGTTTTCAGATATTTGGGAGTTGATGTGTTAGCAGATGGATTTATGAAGGATGAGGTTAATCATAGAACTGATGAAGGAAAAATGGTGAGTGGTGCATTGAGGTATATGTGGAGACAAAAAATGTTATCCATGGAGGCAAAGAAGGGAATGTATGAAAGTATAGCAGTACCAACACTCTTATATGGGTGTGAAACTTGGGTTGTAAATGCTGTAGCGAAGAGACGGTTGGAGGCAGTGGAGATGTCCTGTCTAAGGGCAATGTGTGGTGTAAATATTATGCAGAAAATTCGGAGTGTGGAAATTAGGAAAAGGTGTGGAGTTAATAAGAGTATTAGTCAGAGAGCTGAAGAGGGGTTGTTGAGGTGGTTTGGTTATTTAGAGAGAATGGATCAAAGTAGAATGACATGGAGAGCGTATAAATCTTTAGGGGAAGGAAGGCGGGGTAGGGGTCATCCTCGAAAAGGTTGGAGTGAGGGGGTAAAGGAAGTTTTGTGAGTGAGGGGCTTGGACTTCCAGCAAGTGTGCATGAGCGTGTTAGATAGGAGTGAATGGAGACGAATGGTATTTGGGACCTGACGAGCTGTTGGAGTGTGAGCAGGGTAATATTTAGTGAAGGGCTTCAGTGAAATCGGTTATTTTTATATAGCCGGACTTGAGTCCTGGAAATGGGAAGTACAATGCCTGCACTTTTAAAGGAGGGGTTTGGGATATTGGCAGTTTGGAGGGGTATGTTGTGTATCTTTATACGTATATGTTTCTGAACTGTTGCATTCTGAGCACCTCTGCAAAAACAGTGATTATGTGTGAGTGAGGTGAAAGTGTTGAATGATATTGAAAGTATTTTCTTTTTGGGGATTTTTTTCTTTTTGGGTCACCCTGCTTCGGTGGGAGATGACCAACTTGTTAAAAAAGAAAAAAGGTACATAACGGAGCGGTTGGGTGCGAGTAAGATCTGCCTAGCATGGGCCTGCTGCAGTGCTCCTCTGTTCTTATGTTAATGTATTTTTTTTTTTTTTTAGCTGGTTCAGTGATTCAACTCCCATCATTAAGGTGTGTAAATTTTCAGATGACTGCAAGCGTCGTGTGGAGGTTATAGTGTCATCATACCATGGTGCAAATGCCTTTCGAGAAGATTTGGTACATGGATTTATCCTAGTGTACTCCACCAAGCGGAAGGCTTCTTTAGCTACTCTCAGGGCTTTCTCTGCAAACATTCCCAACCTTCCAATCCAGGTGAGCAGAAGCTGTCTTAGGACAATTTCAGGTGTTCAGACATAGTATAGGTATAGGTTCTAGTACATTTGAGTGCCTGCATGGATGTACTGACTGATGGATGTGTGGGCATGTTATAGGATGCATCATTGAGTGAGTGAATGAATGGTCCAAAGCTATGCTCATTGTGTCCCTTGAGTGGTAGATTAGTACGTATACAGCAATCATCCAAGAAAGTACTATTATCTTCCTATCATACAGGTGTAAAATGAAAGCTTCTTAAATGTTGTCAACTTTGGAGGATTGTTGGTCTGTTCTTTCTGTCTTCTGAACATGAAAGATGGCAGGTAAATCTTACAAGCTTATACATATGCATAGGATACACTAAGATTTACTACCACCTTTATGATGTAACTCACAACCATCGATTAGCACCCAGGTATCTGTTTACTGTCTCTCTGCTCATCAGAACTGAACCCAGGTGCTTCTGTTGTTACCAAACACATTACAGTGGAACCCCAAATATCGTTCGCTGCATTTATCAGCCGATTCGTATTTAGTCCGGTTTTTGGGTGGAAATTTTCCTCCGTATTTCGGCCGTTGCCTTGTAAACCATCCGTATTGTACATGTCAGCCCTCCTCCCACCGGGACACTGCACTTTGGTGAGTCAGTCTCCCTGTGTCTCTCGGTGAATGAGCATATACCCCTCGCATTCATCCAAACATTTCCTTAAAATCCATTAGTTTTTCTGCTTGTTTATTAAGTGCAACTGTGAAATAAGCCACCATGGGCCCAAAGAAAGTTCCGAGTGCCAGCCCTTTGTTAAAGAAAGTGAGAAACACGATGGAATTTAAGAAAGAAGTTATTGAAAAATATGAGAGTTGTGTTCAAGTGCTAGAACTTGCCAGGGTGTATGGGAATTCCAAGTCAACAATCACTTCCATCCTGGCAAAGAAAGAACAAATCAAGGAAGCTGATGTGGTGAAAGCGGTAAGTGTTGATGAAAAAGAGATCACAGACATTGGAAGATGTGGAGAAGTTGTTGTTGTGGATCAATGAGAAGCAATTAGCGGGAGATAGTGTTTCAGAGACGATCATTTGTGAAAAGGCAAGGCAGTTGCATGTGTATCTCGTAAAAAAAATGTGTGGAACTAGTGCTGATGTTAGTGAATTTAAGTCCAGCAGGGGCTGGTTTACAGATTTAAGAAGCATAATGGCATACACAGTGTTGTAAGGCATGGTGAGGCTGCAAGTTCGTACAAAAATGCGGCTGAAAAACTTGTGCAGGAATTCAAGGGGTACGTAGAGACTGAAGAATTCCAACCCCAACAAGTGTTCAATTGTGACAAAACAGGCCTCTTTTGGAAGAGAATACCAAAGAGGGACTATGTCACGCAGAAGGAAAAGGCACTGCCAGGACACAAGCCTATGAAGGATAGGCTAACTCTCTTGTTCTGTGCTAATGCTAGTTGGGATTTCAAAATGAAGCCTTTATTGGTGAATCACTCTGGAAATTCCAGAGTGTTCAAGAAAAACAGTGTCATCAAGAGTAGACTGTGTGTGATGTGGAGGGCTAACAATAACGCATGAGTCACAAGGCAGATTTTCATTGACTGGGTCCATGAACTGTTTGCCCCGAGTGTGAAAAAATACCTCCAAACTTGGTAGACCAATTGTCTAGGGATTTCAGTTTTATAACAGTGAAGTTCTTGCCTCCTAACACCACTTCTCTCATCCAGCCCATGGACCAGCAGGTTATTTCTAACTTCAAAAAACTGTACACCAATGCAGTGTTTCAAAGGTGTTTTGAAGTGACCTTGAACATTGAATTGACCCTAAGAGAGTTTTGGAGTAATCACTTCAGTATCTACAGCTGCATAAGCCTTATAGGTAAGGCTTAGCAGGGAGTGACTTCTAGGACTTTGAACTCTTCTTGGAGAAAATTGTGGCCAGAATGTGTCCTCGAGAAAGATTTTGAAGGGTTTGAGGCTGACCCTGACAATCCTACGCCTGTTGTGAAATCTATTGTGTTTTTGGGGTTGGATGTGAGTGACGAGGATGTGGAAGAGTTGGTGGAGGACTACAGGGAAGAGCTAACCACTGAAGCGCTGCAACACCTTCAAGTGGATCAGCAACAGACCACAGCTGAGGAACTTGCTTCAGAGGAGGAGGAAGAGAGTGGGAAGGAGGTGCCTTCTTCAGAGATTAAGGAGATTTGTGCAATATGGAGTAGGGTGCAAGCTGTTGCTGAGAAATATCACCCTGATAAAGCTGAAACAAGCCATATCTGCAACATGTTCAGTGACAAAGCCTTGGTCCACTTCAGGCAAATCTTAAAGAGGCACCAGAAACAGAGCTCTCTGGACAGATATTTTGTGTGACAGGGGTGCAGTGACTCTCAAGCTGGTCCTAGTGCCATTAAGAGACAAAGAAGGGAAGTAACCTCAGAGAGGGACTTGTTACCTGAAGTCATTATGAGGGGGATTCCCCTTCCAAACAACAACCCCCAACTCCCTCTCTCCTCTTCACCTTCCATATGCCAACAAGAGTCTTCATTAAAGGTATGTAATGTTTATCTTTATTTATCATTGTTTTGTATATGTAAAACTATAGTTAAACTTTACTAAATGTATTTTTTTTATTATCTTTGGGTGTCTGGAACAGATTTTTTTTTTTTTTTTTTACAAGTCAGCCGTCTCCCTCCGAGGCAGGGTGACCCAAAAAGAAAGAAAATCCCCAAAAAGAAAATGCTTTCATCATCATTCAGCACTTTCACCTCACTCATACATAATCACTGTCTTTGCAGAGGTACCCAGATACAACAGTTTAGAAGCATATATAAAGATATATAATATATATAACATTAATTCTTATGGGAAATATTGCTTTGTATTTAGGCCATTCCTAGGTAGTAGGTTGGCAGACAGCAACCGCCCAGGGAGGTACTACCGTCCTGCCAAGTGAGTGTAAAACGAAAACCTGCAATTGTTTTACATGATGGTAGGATTGCTGGTGTCCATTTTTCTGTCTCATAAACATGCAAGGTTTCAGGTACGTCTTGCTACTTCTACTTACACTTAGGTCACACTACACATACATGTACAAGCATATATATACACATCCCTCTGGGTTTTCTTCTATTTTCTTACTAGTTCTTGTTCTTGTTTATTTCCTCTTACCTCCATGGGGAAGTGGAACAGAATTCTTCCTCCGTAAGCCATGCATGTTGTAAGAGGCAACTAAAATGCCAGGAGCAAGGGGCTAGTAACCCCTTCTCCTGTATATATTACTAAATGCAAAAGGAGAAACTTTCGTTTTTCCTTTTGGGCCACCCCGCCTCGGTGGGATACGGCTGGTGTGTTGAAAGAAGAAAGATTTAGGCCATTTTGAATTTAGGCTGACCTTCTGGAATGGATTACGGCCGACGTTCAGGGTTCCATTGTATTACAAAACTATGAGCCACTTGTTTTATTTCTTTCTTTCTTTTTTCAACACACCGGCTGTATCCCACCGAGGCTGGGTGGCCCAAAAGGAAAAACGAAAGTTTCTCCTTTTACATTAGTAATATATACAGGAGAAGAGGTTACTAGCCCCTTGCTCCCGGCATTTTAGTCGCCTCTTACAACACGCATGGCTCACGGAGGAAGAATTCTGTTCCACTTCCCCATGGAGATAAGAGGAAATAAACAAGAACAAGAACTAGAAAGAAAATAGAAGAAAACCCAGAGGGGTATGTATCTATATGCTTGTACATGTATGTGTAGTGTGACCTAAGTGCAAGTAGAAGTAACAAGATGTACCTGAAATCTTGCATGTTCATGAGACAGAAAAAAGGACACCAGCAATCCTACCATCATGTAAAACAATTACAGGCTTTCGTTTTACACTCACTTGACAGGACGGTAGTACCTCCCTGGGTGGTTGCTGTCTACCAACCTACTACCTATAACTTGTGTTATTTATTGTTGAAATTATCGTATTTTCTCTGTCTGTAATAGTTCTCGGTGTCACTTATTTTTCAGTATAGGTAAAAGCAGTAGTTTTTTGACAGTTTCCTTTAAAAGCTTAAGACTATTCATAATTGTCCTTTTGATTCTGCTGATGATAGCTGTGGTAATCCTTTCCTGTACCTAATCTTATGTATCTCAGTTATTTTGTTAGTTCTATTTGCATAGCTCTCATTTATCTTGTTTGGCTCCTTTAAGGGCCTCAAGGGTACAAGCTGTATTGAGCTTAACTTCCCTCTTCTTGGGGATTAAACTCCATACCAGGGAAGGGCATGTAGGGGCATGGGAGAACTACAGGAAATGGGAAAGATGTCGAGAAGACCCTGATTGATAGTGATGTATTGATGTAGACATGGCTTCACAAATCAGTGGAAGAGGTTGCTAGAGCTTGCTGACTCAACCGGAAGTGAGGATGAAGGTGAAGGCATTGGATAGAATCACATGATGGACCGGGGGATTGCACAGTTGACTATCAATTAAAATGGTAGTTTTTTTTTTTTTTCAACAAGTCAGCCGTCTCCCACCGAGGCAGGGTGACCCAAAAAAGAAAGAAAATCCCCTAAAAGAAAATACTTTCATCATCATTCAACACTTTCACCACACTCGCACATTATCACTGTTTTTGCAGAGGTGCTCAGAATACAACAGTTTAGAAGCATACACATATAAAGATACACAACATATGAAAATGGTATTAATTAAATTTTTTTTTTTTTTTTTTAACAAGTCGGCCGTCTCCCACCGAGGCAGGGTGACCCAAAAAAAAGAAAGAAAATCCCCAAAAAGAAAATACTTTCATCATTATTCAACACTTTCACCACACTCACACATTATCACTGTTTTTGCAGAGGTGCTCAGAATACAACAGTTTAGAAGCATACACATATAAAGATACACAACATATCCCTCCAAACTGCCAATATCCCAAACCCCTCCTTCAAAGTGCAGGCATTGTACTTCCCATTTCCAGGACTCAAGTCCGACTATATGAAAATAACCGGTTTCCCTGAATCCCTTCACTAAATATTACCCTGCTCACACTCCAACAGATCGTCAGGTCCCAAGTACCATTCGTCTCCATTCACTCCTATCTAACACGCTCACGCACGCTTGCTGGAAGTCCAAGCCCCTTGCCCACAAAACCTCCTTTACCCCCCTCTCTCCAACCCTTTCGAGGACGACCCCTACCCCGCCTTCCTTCCCCTATAGATTTATATACTTTCCATGTCATTCTACTTTGATCCATTCTCTCTAAATGACCAAACCACCTCAACAACCCCTCTTCTGCCCTCTGACTAATACTTTTATTAACTCCACACCTTTTCCTAATTTCCACACTCCGAATTTTCTGCATAATATTTACATCACACATTGCCCTTAAACAGGACATCTCCACTACCTCCAACCGTCTCCTCGCTGCTGCATTTACCACTCAAGCTTCACACCCATATAAGAGTGTTGGTACTACTATACTTTCATACATTCCCTTCTTTCCCTCCATAGATAACGTTTTTTGACTCCACATATACCTCAACGCACCACTCACCTTTTTTCCCTCATCAATTCTATGATTAACCTCATCCTTCAAAATGAACTGAAGAACATATGGGAGGGTTCTTGGAACCCCCCAAAAATGTCACAATTTTTTAAGCTTTGTAATTCATGAAGACTCAAAAATAATGAAGTGTACCATTCCTTACATTATTGTTGTCATTGCTTGTTGATCTAGAAATGTGTGGAGAGGGTTGTGACCTTGTACAATACCTGTATCAACATATGACATGCAGTTCCACAACCCTCACCCCATACCACCACCACTGCACTCACCTTCCCACATCAGTAAAAATTCCATGTATTACTGGCCATGTGACAAGAATTTTTGCTAAATATATATGCTTGGTTGTAATGGCTAAAGGGGGTCATTGCAACCCTTAAACCTTGAAGTTCTAGGGAAGGAAACTAGGAAGAGCTGCATTATGTGAACCAAAAGGCAGAGAGACCTGTAACTATTGGAGGATAGGAGAGCCAGATAAGACTGCATTCAGTTAGAAGATAAGAGAACAAAGTGAAGGGATTGTTGAATTGCATGGAACTCTCCTGCTGGGATGGGTCCATTTCCAGTTTGATTCATTGGCATAGTCCTGGCCCGAGTCTTGTCCATGTGATGACCTGACGATGCGTCCAATTAGGGGGGTCTTTCAGAAGGAAAGATCTAGAAAGAAAGTGGCAGTGTGTGTAGATGGTGGAGAGGGAAGGAAGGTGCCATCTGTGTAGATGAAAATCATATCAGTCATCACACACAACCTCATTGTAATCATTATATTTATACCAAGGACACAAAGCCAGTCTCTCGCACCAGTCAAACGCAGTGTGCCATTGTTTATCAGTGTGACCATCATCCCATGGGTTCATACCATACATTTCATAATAATCCATTGTTTTTTGTGCTTGCAACTGCTATATAAGCCACCATGGGCCCAAAGAAAGCTCCTAGTGCCAGACCTTTGGTAAGGAAGGAAAGAAACACAATAGAATTCAAGAAAAAACTCGTATCAAAGTACCAAAGTAAAGGAGGGAGAGAGAGGGGAGAATGTACCTTCCTTAGTGATTCTACGATATGTACAATATTAAAACAGCAGGTATCTATAAAGGCTGGAGGTGTATAGGGCCACTGAACATATGCCACCCTGCTATCTTCCACCATCCTAAACCTCTGCCAGCATCTCCTCCATCAAACTAATTAATTAAACTAACATATCCTCCAACGTAAGTGTGAATATTTCTTATTTATAAATTACGTACATTGTTTCAGTGTGAATAGTGATGGTGGCTTCTGCTGCCGCCTCCACTACCACTAATATGGCTCTTATAAACCCAACACCACCACCACCACCACCACCACCACCACCACTTACTCCTCACTTATGTTATAACATATTTTAGTAATTCTAGAGTATATATCATGTTTCTGTGTTATTAATATTGTTTATTATGTCATATTAGATGAATTGTGATAGATAAATAAGCCATAGAGATGATACTAGCGTCATATTGAAGCATAATAAACTCTCCTCCCTCTTGCCTTCTAACTGTCTGCCATACACCAACAAGAGTCTTCAATAAAGTTAAGTATGATGTTAAATGTTCATTTATCCATTTTATTAGTGCTTTATATTTATTTGTCATTGTTTCCTGTATGTAAATCTATATTTAATCTTTAAAAAAAATATTTTTTGTTAATACTTTTGGGTGTCTGAAATGGATTAATTGAATTTCCATTATTTCTTATGGGAAAATGGTTTCGCCAGTCGTGAATTTCCCCATTTGGCAGATGCTCTGGGATGGATTAATCACTAAACATGTGGGTCCACTGTATGTGAATGGATGTTTCAGTAAGTGAATAAACCAGTCAGATAACTGGTAGGTAAAGTTATTTCTTATATAGCAGAAAGGTGAGTTAAGACTAATTTAATGAGAGAGAAGTTTCTGTTAAAATTCCTTTCTAATTACAATATTTCAAATCGGAACCAGCTTGTTAGTCACAACTCATAAAGAATGATGCACAAACTTCTGTCTTTAACAGTTATTGAAGAAGCAGTTCATTGATATTTCTCTCTCTTGATAGATTTTGGCAATGACCGACACAAACAGTGCATCAGCGTTTTTTGGGTCGGATATCTCTCAGCAGCTTATCACTGAAGGTAATGCTATTGCCGACAGACTGCAGGCACATTTCATGACCTCCACTGCAACTTGCCAACAGAAAAGTGAGTTGAGCCATCATTTGCATGCTATTTCTTAATTTACATCCAAAAAGATTATATCTTTACATCTATATAGTAAAACCTCAATAAACATAATAATCAGGACATAGAATGGTGTGCAAAGCCAGAAAGTAATTGGAGCTAATAGAATATTAGGTCACTTCCTGTGAGGTTAACAACAATATCTTTGGCATAGTTGCACTGGACGGAGAACGAATTAGTTGGTTGTAACGGGTGCAGGATGCAAGTCCCGGCCTGTGTGTTACTGTGCTGCTGTTGCATGATGTGCTGGGCTCTACCTTAACAAACCTTAAGCTGCCATACCTTCACATTTTTCTGTATTACTCAGGTAATATTTCCACTACAGCCATATGATGTGGGGACTCCTGTTTACATTCATTTGCCTTTTAGAAGGGTGTATGAAGCTCTCCCAATACATATGCATTTTCTGTGTTATTGTCTTTGTTCGTGTTGTCATAAATACACTTAGATCTCCCCTGATCTTATTTTAAACAAGACAAACAGAAACAAACTGAAACTCTAGCCTGTGCTTTTTCCTAAATAAATCCCAAACCCTCCATAACTCTTGTTCTAGCTATAAAGTCAATCTGATTTCTAAAGCTCTTAGTTGGTACCAAATTGAAACATCTCTATGAGCATTACCTACTTGCCATTATAATCAGGTTTTATGCCAGTTATCAGCTTCACCGTAACGGTGGATGCTGTTTTGACAGCATAGAATAGGAACCTCTAATCTTATTGGGTGCAGTGTTCTTTGCACCTATGGTGTCACCCTACTTCAGGACTATCTCAGTGGGATATATCTACTGAGTAGGAAATGTGTTAGTTCATATCTTTGTTTTTCACTATGTTAAGAACTTTTTTATAGAGCCTCAGTGTCATGGATAGTGTGTTTTTCCTTGGTATCTGTATATATTATAGTTTTAATCTGTTGCATTAAATTTGTCTAAAAATTTTACTTTGTGTCTACCTATATCTTTGATGCATTGTTCTCAAAGAAGTTGCTTTGAGTGATTGGCCATGCACACATTATTCTCCAGTCAAAGCCATTAACAGTATCTCCAGCCTTAACAGTAAAAACTGCAGCAACACTGGAGACATTTGCTTAAGAATTCTACATTATGGATTGGCAGTTAAATAACTGGAATAGTAACTACTTTTTGTGGTAAGAGTTTTGACAAAGGGTGAGTGCTATCTATGAAAATATGAATCATTGATTAAGGCAGAAAAATAAAACAGGAATAAACAAAGGCACATAGGGATGAACAATAAAAGATAATGAATGGAAAAATTACATTAATTGAAAGGACAGTGTGGACGTACAACATACGTGGGAGACAGCCAAGTGATCTGATGATGCCGAGTGAACGTTTCCTGAGAAACAAGCCATCAGTGGGACACAAGGCATCCGATTTGCTGCTTCCATGGTAGTTCTTTCATAGGTGACTGAAGTCAACTAGTATTTTTAACTACAATAGCATATGTTGTGATCATATTATAAGATTTTATGTGCCAAGCTGGTTTTGTTTGTAGTATTGGTTGCCATTTTGAAGCTGTTATATTTTACAACTTTGCCATTTTTTTACACACCTATAGAGTCTATCCTTGTTAATAAGTTTAATATTTTAAAATATTTAAGAATAGCCCTGAAAAACTTCAGTTGAGATTGAATCAAAAGAATATGAGAACATTCAGCTTTTTCCAGTGTTGAGAGGGGCAAGTAAAGTGTTTAGTGTACGAAAAATATGCATGGAGTAGCTGTCTCAGTGTTGCTGCATGTTTTATTGGTGGTATTATTTATAGTATTGCAGTAATTAATTTTTTCTTTCGGTTTTCTAAATTTTTTCCAATTTTGATTAGGACTTGACCTTCTCATGCCTTTAAGACTTGGCTAATTAGCCACTCACAGGATATTTATATATCACTCCACAAAGGCCAGGAGTTACATGGGATCACAGACTGAGTGAGAGGGGATAAGTGTATCTTGCTGCCCCCTCTTCTCTCTTGATATCTGTGGACTCGTTGAGTTATTATGGCAAGCCGGTGGGTATGTACTCTTAACACTCTTGCTAACTGTGTCTTTTACCATTGCTTTACCTCTCAATTTTTGCCTACAAATGACTATTTGTATTTACATTTAAAAAAAGAATTCTATGTAAATAATAATATTTTGAATAGTAGGTTAATGTTTTGATGATCTGGCTTCTTGCTTATTTTGTGCTGAGGTTTGTTATTAAATATGGAATATTGATAAGCTGATAAAGTTTTTATTAACTGGAATCTTATGATGCTGTTCAGTGGTGATTTCTTTCATTTAATTTGCACTCGGACTTTTTAAAGTGCAGAACAGAGCAGTAAATCAGCTGTTGCTGTAGACTTTGTATTCAAAATTTGTCTGTGTTTATGATTGGACCTGCATGAATTTAATTACACGCACACCCACACATGCATCCACACACGCGCACACACCCACACCCCCCACAAACCCCCCACGAACACACACACAAAAACAACTAGGTGAGTACACACACACACCTCGGAAGAGTACAAGAAGGTGTTCCTAGACAGAGACAGAACACAAACAGAGAGACAGCAGCTGAGGGAGAGGACAAAAAAGCGAAAGGAGCTAGGAAAGGAGACAGCCACATCAGGAAGAAAACAACCGTCAAGGACCAGGTAATCAGGCTAAGGAAGGAAGGAGGAGAGACAACAAGAAATGACAGTGAAGTATGTGATGAACTCAACAAGAGATTCAAAGAAGTGTTCACAGAGGAGACAGAAGGGGCTCCAGAAAGACAGAGAGGTGGGGTACACCACCATGTGCTGGACACAGTACACACAACCGAGGAAGAAGTGAAGAGGCTTCTGAGTGAGCTAGATACCTCAAAGGCAATGGGGCCAGATAACATCTCTCCATGGGTCCTGAGAGAGGGAGCAGAGGCGCTATGTGTACCCCTAACAACAATATTCAATACATCTATCGAAACAGGGAGATTGCCTGAGACATGGAAGACAGCAAATGTGGTACCAATCTTTAAAAAAGGAGACAGACATGAAGCACTAAACGACAGACCAGTGTCACTGACATGTATAGCATGCAAAGTCATGGAAAAGATTGTCAGGAGAAGAGTGGTGGAACATCTAGAAAGGAATGATCTCATCACCAGCAGCCAACATGGTTTCAGAGACGGGAAATCATGTGTCACAAACCTACTGGAGTTCTATGACATGGTGGCAGCAGTAAGGCAAGAGAGAGAGGGGTGGGTGGATTGCATTTTCTTGGACTGCAAGAAGGCATTTGACACAGTACCACACAAGAGATTAGTGCAAAAACTGGAGGACCAAGCAGGGATAACAGGGAAGGCACTGCATTGGATCAGGGAATACTTGTCATAAGACAGCAGCGAGTAATGGTACGTGGCGAGGTGTCAGAGTGGGCACCTGTGACCAGCGGGATCTCACAGGGGTCAGTCCTAGGACCAGTGCTGTTTCTGGTATTTGTGAACGACATGACGGAAGGAATAAACTCCAAGGTGTCCCTGTTTGCAGATGACGTGAAGTTGATGAGAAGAATTCATTCGATCGAAGACCAGGCAGAACTACAAAGGGATCTGGACAGGCTGCAGACCTGGTCCAGCAATTGGCTCCTGGAGTTCAATCCCACTAAGTGCAAAGTCATGAGGATTGGGGAAGGGCAAAGAAGACCGCAGACGGAGTACAGTCTAGGGGGCCAGAGACTACAAACATCACTCAAGGAAAAAGATCTTGGGGTGAGTATAACACCAGGCACATTTCCTGAAGCGCACATCAACCAAATAACTGCTGCAGCATATGGGCTCCTGGCAAACCTCAGAACAGCATTCTGACATCTTAATAAGGAATCGTTCAGGACCCTGTACACCGTGTACGTTAGGCCCATATTGGAGTATGCGGCACCAGATTGGAACCCACACCTAGCCAAGCATGTAAAGAAACTAGAGAAAGTGCAAAGGTTTGCAACAAGACTAGTCCCAGAGTTAAGAGGTATGTCCTATGAGGAGAGGTTAAGGGAAATCAACCTGACGACACTGGAGGACAGGAGAGATAGGGGGGACATGATAACGACTTACAAAATACTGAGAGGAATTGACAAGGTGGACAAAGACAGGATGTTCCAGAGACTGGACACAGCAACACGGGGACACAGTTGGAAGCTGAAGACACAGATGAATCACAGGGATGTTAGGAAGTATTTCTTTTAGCCTCAGAGTAGTCAGGAAGTGGAATAGTTTGGGAAGCGATGTAGTGGAGGCAGGATCCATACATAGCTTTAAGCAGAGGTACGATAAAGCTCATGATTCAGGGAGAGTGACCTAGTGGCGACCAGTGAAGAGGCAGGGCCAGGGGCTTGGACTCGACCCCTGCAACCTCAACTAGGTGAGTACACACACACACACACACACACACACACACACACACACACACACACACACACACACACCCCACACACACACACACACACACACACACACACACACAACGGGCGCCTCAAAAACAACTTCCATAAAACTCATAAGCAATCGTTTAAAACTCACATCCATCACTCAGCCCATACTGTGTATCAGCACCAGTTGGAATCAAACTGTGCATAAGTATATTAGGTGAAGGTTTCAACTATATCAGAGCTTACGGGATTGTCTATGAAAGGTGAGGGAAATCGGCCTTGAAACAGGTAGGCCAGGAGGTCCGGAGACATGATAAGACATATAAAATACTGCGCGAAATAGACGAGCTGGACAAAGGACGTGAGCTCCTTCCAGATGACACAGACACAGAGGTCACAATTGAGTTGAAGACTCAGATGAATCAAAGGATGTTAGGAAGTATTTCTTCAGCATAGAGTAGTCAGGCCATGGAATAGCCTAGAAAGTGATGTGGTGGAGGCAGGAACCATACATAGTTTTAAGGCGAGGTATGATAGACTCATGGGGCAGGGAGTGAGAGGACCTAGTAGCAATCAGCGAAGAGGCGGGCCAGGACTGTGACTCGACCCTGCAACCACAAATAGGTGAGTACACACACTCTCACACACACTCACACACCTCACACACACTCACACACACACACACACACACACACACAACCAACACACACACACACACACACTAGACACAAAATGGCACACAGCCTCACACAGATAAACACCCACACCTCACAACAACAACACACTACAATGCACATCCACACACAAACATCCACAGAGTTCAAGAGGTGTCCTATGAAGAGCTCTACACACTCAACACCTGACACACCTGGAGGACAGGAGAGATAGGGGACATATAACGACTACAAAAACAGAGGAATTGACAAGGTGGACACAAACACAAGGATGTTCCAAGACTGGAACACACAACACGGGACACAGTGAACTTGACAGACACACGATGAATCACAGGGAATGCTTCACAGGAAAGTAATTTCTATCAGCCCAAGTAGTCAGGACGTGAAAGTTTGAGGAAGCGATCTAGTGAGGCAGGATCCATACATAGCTTTAAGCAAGGACGATCAAAGCTCAGATTCACCGGGAGAGATGACACTAGTACCGAACCAGTAAAGGCAGGGCCAGAGCTGGACTCACCCCTACACAACTCACAACTAGTGGTACACACACAAAACACACACACACACACACACACACACACACACACACACACACACACACACACACACCACACACACACACACACCACACACAACACACACACACACACACACCACACACCGCACACACACACACACACACACTCACACTCACACTCACACACTCACACACACACACTTTCTCTCTCTCAGTAGTAATAAAATACTGTGCATAATGTATATTTTGTATTTTTTCCTATATCATTTTGTTTATTTTTTACTTTTTATTTTTTTACAGCTGCATTTTATACACCCTTCTTTAAAGAGGTGTGGGATAAGAAGCCCGAGATTGAGCAGGCATTTAATATGGAAGACCCCTCTGGCTTAGACGACTCTGGTGAGGGCACGTTAGAGCGACCTCCTCACCACTATCACCGCACCATTACTCTTCCACCACCAAGACGCACTCTTCCGCCCAGATCCCAGTCTGCGGAAGGGTGAGGCAAACAAAATTGGTTTCAGTGTTCTTTAGTTGTGGTTTTTGTTTTTAATTTTTGAAATAGCTAAGTAATGATTGGGAATTGGTTTGGAACAGTGTTCTCTCTAATTTTTCTACCCATGTGTGTAGTGATTGTTACTTTGTGCACAAACATGAACAAATGTGTGCAATAAGTAACACCAGTCCATATATCAGCTATTATTTTAGAGGTTCCTTTATGTAAGACTAGTGTAATAAAGCCTGGTCACTGACACAACCCACATGGTAACAAGTGTAATAAAACCTGGTCACTGACACAACCCACATGGTAACAAGTGTAATAAAGCCTGGTCACTGACAACCCACATGGTAACAAGTGTAATAAAGCCTGGTCACTTGACACAACCCACATTTTTTTTTTCTTATCACACTGGCCGATTCCCACCAAGGCAGGGTGGCCCGAAAAAGAAGAACTTTCACCATCATTCACTCCATCACTGTCTTGCCAGAAGGGTTCTTTACACTACAGTTTTTAAACTGCAACATTAACACCCCTCCTTCAGAGTGCAGGCACTGTACTTCCCATCTCCAGGACTCAAGTCCAGCCTGCCGGTTTCCCTGAACCCCTTCATAAATGTTACTTTGCTCACACTCCAACAGCACGTCAAGTATTAAAAACCATTTGTCTCCTGCAACATCTGCCACATTGCCCCCCTATCCACCCTGTCATATGCCTTTTCCAAATCTATAAATGCCACAAAGACCTCTTTAGCCTTATCTAAATACTGTTCACTTATATGTTTCACTGCAAACACCTGGTCCACACACCCCCTACCTTTCCTAAAACCTCCTTGTTCATCTGCTATCCTATTCTCCATCTTATTTTTTTTTCAACAATGGTCTCTACCACACCCAGGCATACCCAACAGAATATCCCCCAAAGAAAATTTTTCATCATCATTTTTCCCCTTTGCCATTATCAATGCTTTGCAGAGGTGCTCTGAATCAACAGGGTTTAGCATATACGTATAAATTAAAAATTCCACCAACCACTCCAAAAAATAACCCCACCCGCTTTTAAACATTTCTTCCTTTTCCAGATCAAGTCCGACTTGAAATACCTTTCCCCCTTCATTTTACCCTGCTCACAAATCCACCCATCCTACATTCGTCTCTTCCTCCTATCTAACAAGATGCACGCTTGCCTCCAAGCCCTCACACAAACACATCCTCCCCTTTTCCAACCTTTAACAACTACCACATAATATTCCCCTCATTTCCCAATATTTTTTCTAATCACCACACTTCCATTATAATAACTATCCCCCTATTTTTTGCACTCTCATTTTTCCTTTGCCTTATACAAAGGAACTATGCATGCTCTCTGCCAAACTTTTTAGGTACCTTACCCTCTTCCATACATTTATTAATATTTGCACCAACCACTCCAAAACTATATCCCCACCTCTTTTAACATTTCTATCTTATCCCATCATTCGGCTGCCTTACCCCCTTTCATTTTACCTACTGCCTCACGAACTTCCCCCACACTCACACTGGCTCTTCCTCACTCCTACAAGATGTTGTTCCTCCTTGCCCTATACACGAAATCACAGCTCCCCTATCTTCATCAACATTTAACAATTCCTCAAAATATTCCCTTCATCTTCCCAATACCTCTAACTTCCATTTAATAACTCTCCTCTCCTATTTTTAACTGACAAATCCATTTGTTCTCTAGGCTTTCTTAACTTGTTAATCTCACCCAAAACTTTTTCTTATTTTCAACAAAAAATTGTTGATAACATCTCACCCACTCTCTCATTTGCTCTCTTTTTACATTGCTTCACCACTCTCTTAACCTTCTCTTTTTCTCCATATACTCTTCCCTCCTTGTATCACTTCTACTTTGTAAAAACTTCTCATATGCTAACTTTTTCTCCCTTACTACTCTCTTCACATCATCATTCCACCAATCGCTCCTCTTCCCTCCCGCACCCACTTTCCTGTAACCACAAACTTCTGCTGAACACTCTAACACTATATTTTTAAACCTACCCCATACCTCTTCGACCCCATTGCCTATGCTCTCATTAGCCCATCTATCCTCCAATAGCTGTTTATATCTTACCCTAACTGCCTCCTCTTTTAGTTTATAAACCTTCACCTCTCTCTTCCCTGATGCTTCTATTCTCCTTGTATCCCATCTACCTTTTACTCTCAGTGTAGCTACAACTAGAAAGTATAATAAAGCCTGTCACTGGCACAACCCACGTGGTAAATGTAATAAAGCCTGGTCACTGACACAACTCGCATGGTAACAAATCTAATAAAGCCTGGTCACTGACACAACCCACATAGTAACAAATGTAATAAAGCCTATTTTAGGCCAATTACATTATTCCAGTCGGCCAAATTCTTAGCTATTTCGCTAGTATTACTTCTGTTTTATCGATTGAGCACAAGAAACTGCCCAATCAACTATTTCAACTACCCAATAAAGTGATCAGAAATTGGAAATTTGGCCATTTTGACACTAAGTTCAAAATATTCCCATTTCAAAATAGTATCTAGAATAAACAATGCAGGCATTCCTGGCACTAAAATAACATTTCCTCTGTTTATTAGCTATGTTTCCAGGCATTACAGATGAATTCCATTTTGATTTTTTATTTACATAAAGAAGTTTTATTTACACCAAAAAATAGAAGATTTACTGTTATGCAATATTGTAATAATTGTATAAATAATATCAGCACATTCATGAACATATATTAGACCCACCAGTTGACATGTATTGGACGTGTGACGTCATTTGTTTACTCTTGGACATTGGCAAAAATCGAACATTTCCTCTACTTAGAGCTCAATTTCAAGCTACAGTGGTACCCCGAGTTTCGATCTTATTTCATTCCAGAAAGCTGTTTGAGTTCCAATACTGAATGAATTTGTTCCCATAAGGAATAATGTAAATTAGATTAGTCCGTTTCAGACCCCCAAAATTACACTTACAAATGCACTTACGCAAATACACTTACATAATTGTTTGAATTGGGAGCAGTTTGAAACTTGGGGTACCACTGTATTTTTGTACTACAACCAATGAAAATCACCTCTATTTCTGTAATATGTCTTCCACTCTATCAAATGAGGCCAAGAAACCGTGAATACAACTGTAAAAAACATACAAAAATACTCAGCAAAGTTGGTGTTTTAATCCAAAAAACACAGTTGCATTTTTCTCATTATGCACTGCATGCTGCAGGAGTTGTTTTATATGGTGCACACTTAGCACACATGCACTCTCTCATATCTTGGCCCAAATTTTCTGCCCACAGCTTATATGAGGGAGCTGAGCTCGTGATGTAGATCTGCAGCTTGGACTCTCAAAGGGTTAAGTAACCTTATTATGCTGGCTTGGTGTGATGTAGTTCATTAAGTCACAGTAGGACCTGACTAGCCAGTGATAATTTGCCACACCATGGCCATGTCATGGAGGTGTCAAAATCTGTAGGATTCCCAAGTGTTTCCTCCTGGGGATCATACAGTTATTGATATACACTGGTCTGCTAATTTGAGGACTGGCTTCCCTTGGGTTTGAATTCCACTCTCTTCAGTGAGTTGTTTACTATAATGTCATTATGGCTTTGTAAGTCACTCCCTGGTTTTGTTGTGACTTATTATAAGTGCATTGATGTAAAATGTATAGCGCATGCTATGTTCTTTGCTTGGTTTTCAGAAGCAGTTCCGAGATATATGAAACTGTGCCGACTGATGGTTCACAGGGTGATGACTTGGATGAACCCCTCTCTCCTGTTTTTCCTGATGATCAGCCACTCACACCTTCAGATGATTCTGATATCTATTCTCATATTGACAATGATGAAGAGGAGCACCTTGTTAAACCCTCGCAGCTTAAAAAGCAACACAGATTTCAACAAGGTAAGAGTTTTAAATAAATTTGATTTTAAATCTGTTGAGATTTTTTGGTAATTCATTAACTAATTTATTATTAAAATTATATTGAAATCCTATTTTTTGTATGGTTTCTGGATTATTTTCTGAAGCTTACTAACTCTGGCATTTTTACTGAATAATAGCATTTTTCATAAAGCATTAAAAAAATTATGTTACCTGTCTGTGCAGATACCAAGGTCAGTTATGTTAAACTTTTGCTTCTTTTCCTAGCAGATGCCCACCTCTGTAATACTTACTCTCATTTTTCTAAAGGAAAATATTTTTAATGATTTACTAGTTTTAAAATTGTTGTTGGGTAACTTGCCACTTCTCTTGGAAAGTTTTTATGATGTGGCATTAGATTGTATTAATGGGTACCTATAGTATGTTTTTAACTTTTTTCAAGGTAATAATACCATTGCACTTGAGTTTTTGTAGGATTACCTTCTCTTATTAATGACATTTTAAGCTGTGTTTAATTTTGTAATTTATATTTTTGCTATATAATCGTTTTTTTTTTTGCAGTTATGCAGTTAATTATTTTTTACTTCTTATTTGTCATGTGTAGATGTAGTTGCATTCTAGGTGTTGGAAGACATATCCTGGTAGAAATTGTTACTGTTTAGCTTATACTGTGTGGAGTTGTAACTTTCACCTGCTTGTGTGGGCTTCATGAGCTGTGTGTGTGCTCTCTTGCTTAAATGGATAATATTCTCTTGTTCAAGTTGATAATATTCTCTTGCTCAAGTTGATAATATTCTCTTGCTCAAGTTGATAATATTCTCTTGTTCAAGTTGATAATATTCTCTTGCTCAAGTTGATAATATTCTCTTGCTCAAGTTGATAATATTCTCTTGCTCAAGTTGATAATATTCTCTTGCTCAAGTTGATAATATTCTCTTGTTCAAGTTGATAATATTCTCTTGCTCAAGTTGATAATATTCTCTTGTTCAAGTTGATAATATTCTCTTGCTCAAGTTGATAATATTCTCTTGCTCAAGTTGATAATATTCTCTTGTTCAAGTTGATAATATTCTCTTGCTCAAGTTGATAATATTCTCTTGCTCAAGTTGATAATATTCTCTTGTTCAAGTTGATAATATTCTCTTGCTCAAGTTGATAATATTCTCTTGTTCAAGTTGATAAAAATTCTCTTGCTCAAGTTGATAATATTCTCTTGTTCAAGTTGATAATATTCTCTTGTTCAAGTTGATAATATTCTCTTGTTCAAGTTGATAATATTCTCTTGCTCAAGTTGATAATATTCCCTCAGTTTGCTTATATAAAGTTTGTTATATTTATTAAGCCTCCAGTTTATTACATTAACAGTTATTTAGTTGGCAGTTAAAGTAGGATCTGATAGCCATGTGGTTTACTAATCTCGCCTAGCTGCTGTAGTTTGTTGTTCACTAAGACCCCACAAATTGAGCACTATATTCAGGCTGTGTTGTTGGCTATGTAGGCTTGTGGGTCACTAGCACCAACAGCCTAATTGATCAATTTTGTCCATGTGCCAGGTTGTGATGGTAGAAGAACCATTAAAACCATTAATAGGTAACTGTAACAGCCATCATTCGCTCTGTATTCATTCGTAAAATAGGTAAATCACAGGTAGCACACTATTTTTACTGTAGTCATATTACATGATTGTTAAACCACAGGCAACACCCACTATCTTAATTAAACTACAGGTAACACCCACTATCTTCACTGTAGTCATTCTACATGATAGTTAAAGCACAGGTAGCACCCACTTTCTTTACTGTAGTCATGCTACATCATAGTTTAACCACAGGTAGCACCCACTATCTTCACTGTAGTCATTCTACTTGGTAGTTAAACCATAGGTAGTACCCACTAGCTTATCTGTAATCATGCTAATTGATAGTTAAACCACAGGTAGCATCCACTATGTTCACTGTAGTCATGCTGCATGATAGGTAAACCACAGGTAGCACCCACTGTCTTACCTGTAGTCATACTACATGATAGTTAAACCACAGGTAGCACCCACTATCTTCACTGTAGTCATGCTGCATGGTAGGTAAACTATAGGTAGCACATACTATCTTCACTGTAGTCATAGCACAGTAGGGCTCTGACTCAGTGTTCCAGACTTGTAGTATTGTTACTCTGCAACCAATCAATTAGTTACAAACATTGCTTGGCAGTTACTCTCATTACAAATATTCAGGCAAATTTTTTTGTTTTTAAGTATTTTTTCTTGTTTATTTACCAAATGCATTTATACTTTGTGCATGTTCATTGTATGCATGTATAGAAAGCTCATGTTTGTTTGATAGAGATTGGTCAAGAATTATAGATTTAAGATTAACAATTTTTTTAATGAATTATTGCTATAGAGTACTTCAGACTGCCACCTTTCACTTGTAGCATCCTACAGTTTGTCCAACATTCATAATATAGTACATTGTAGATAAGTCACAGGTAGCACTCGTTGTTGGCACTTCATAGTACATGGTAGATAAACCACTGGTAGCACCCACAACATAACCTTTATATTCATAGTACTAGGTAGTTAAACCACATTTATCATCCACCATCTGCACTATATTGATAGTATATGGTTTAAGCTTGCCAAATAATAGTGTGCAATTTGCATCTTAATTTTAATGGTAATGTGCTCTACAAAGTTTTGTTGGGTTTGACTTACCTTTGGGCTTCAGTTCACTGTTGCATTATAAACCTGAAAAATGGAAAGCCTGGTTTATCATGGAATAAGCTAAGAGATGTTGAGGATGTTGCAATTTGGGAGTCACCTGAGCTGTGATGCCAGCACGCTCCTGGCAAGAAAGTGATTGAATGAATGGTGACAGTTCCTTCTTTTTTGGGGGTCGCCCCATCTCGGTGGGAGACAGCTGGTGTATTAAACCAATTAGGTAAGGGTTAAGGAGACCCAGAAGACAAGAGCCTTAGCCTTAAAGAATTTTGCTATTAATTTGCTTATTATTTTTGCAAATTTAAATATTTAACAAAAATATTTGTTGATTTATTTGGCATGTTATCCTAGCATGCATCAGCAAGGAAATGAATATTACAAATTAAAACAAAAGTGCTTTTAGTTTAGGTGCAAGTGTTTATCCTGTGAAGTTTTTTGCTTCTTAAGAAAATAGACAAACTGTGACCACCTTGCTAGTGTGTGGAGGTGTGTGATATAAAAACTATCTCCATTATTTTGTTTGTGACTGTATTATCTAGAGTTGTTAATCCTTATACCCTAGTTCTGTCAGGGAACTGACAGCCTTATGAACAGCACATGCAGACCATGTGGTGAACTTTTCCACTGGAGCTGACCTGACTAGCCAAAAGTTATGGGGGGGAAAATAACCAAGAGAAGACTTGATGGAGAGTCGCTATTGGAGGCAGAGCCGGACGCTTTGTATGAGAACTTGTAGGGTGACAGCCATGCTGAAAGTTTGGCCTGCTGTATCCCTGTGTAGCTAAAGGTGTGAGCTATTAGTGGATGCTAGACTTTTATTTTATTCTGTTATCCAGATAGTGGTGAAGCAATGTAAAAAGAGAGCAAATGAGAGAGTGGGTGAGATGTTATCAACAAATTTTGTTGAAAATAAGAAAAAGTTTTGGAGTGAGATTAACAAGTTAAGGAAGCCTAGAGAACAAATGGATTTGTCAGTTAAAAATAGGAGAGGAGAGTTATTAAATGGAGAGTTAGAGGTATTGGGAAGATGGAGGGAATATTTTGAGGAATTGTTAAATGTTGATGAAGATAGGGGAGCTGCGATTTCGTGTATAGGGCAAGGAGGAATAACATCTTGTAGGAGTGAGGAAGAGCCAGTTGTGAGTGTGGGGCAAGTTCGTGAGGCAGTAGGTAAAGTGAAAGGGGGTAAAGCAGCTGGGATTGATGGGATAAAGATAGAAATGTTAAAAGCAGGTGGGGATATAGTTTTGGAGTGGTTGGTGCAATTATTTAATAAATGTATGGAAGAGGGTAAGGTACCTAGGGATTGGCAGAGAGCATGCATAATTCCTTTGTATAAAGGCAAAGGGGACAAAAGAGAGTGCAAAAATTATAGGGGGATAAGTCTGTTGAGTATACTTGGTAAAGTGTATGGTAGAGTTATTATTGAAAGAATTAAGAGTAAGACGGAGAATAGGATAGCAGATGAACAAGGAGGCTTTAGGAAAGGTAGGGGGTGTGTGGACCAGGTGTTTACAGTGAAACATATAAGTGAATATTTAGATATGGCTAGAGAGGTTTTTGTGGCATTTATGGATTTGGAAAAGGGACATGATAGGGTGGATAGGGAGGGCAATGTGGCAGATGTTGAAGGTGTATGGTATAGGAGGTAGGTTACTGAAAGCAATGAAGAGTTTTTATGAGGACAGTGAGGCTCAAGTTAGAGTATGTAGGAAAGAGGTAGATTATTTCCCAGTAAAAGTAGGCGTTAGACAAGGATGTGTGATGTCACCGTGGTTGTTTAATATATTTATAGATGGGGTTGTAAGAGAAGTAAATGCGAGGGTCTTGGCAAGAGGCGTGGAGTTAAAAGATAAAGAATCACACATAAAGTGGGAGTTGTCACAGTTGCTCTTTGCTGATGACACTGTGCTCTTGGGAGTTTCTGAAGAGAAGTTGCAGAGGTTGGTAGATGAATTTGGTAGGGTATGTAAAAGAAGAAAATTAAAAGTGAATACAGGAAAGAGTAAGGTTATGAGGATAACAAAAAGATTAGGTGATGAAAGATTGGATATCAGATTGGAGGGAGAGAGTATGGAGGAGGTGAATGTATTCAGATATTTGGGAGTGGACGTGTCAGCGGATGGATCTATGAAAGATGAGGTGAATCATAGAATTGATGAGGGGAAAAGGGTGAGCGGTGCACTTAGGAGTCTGTGGAGACAAAGAACATTGCCCTTGGAGGCAAAGAGGGGAATGTATGAGAGTATAGTTTTACCAACTCTCTTATATGGGTGTGAAGCATGAGTGATGAATGTTGCAACGA